AATAGCGAAGTCATCAACATAGAGTGATGACCAAATATTTGATGGAAGACTAGAGGCCAAATCATTAATAGCAAGGAGAAAAAGTGTTGTGCTCAAAACACATCCCTGGGGGACACCTTCAGCTTGGATAAAGTCTGGGGAGAGCACATTACTAACCCGAACACGGAAATGTCTATCAGTTAAAAAGTTCTTAAGGAAGGATGGTAGATTGCCTCAGAGGCCTAAGGAGTGGGCTTGGGCCAAAATATTATGCCTCCAAGTTGTGTCATATGCCTTCTCAAGGTCAAAAAATATGGCAATAACTGAGTGGTTATTCGCAAAGGCATTATGAACATATGTATCCAAGTGTAGTAAGGGGTCTATGGTAGAACGTCGCTTACAAAAGCCATGTTGACGAGTGGAGAGACTGTTGTGTGTCTAAATATCACACTAAACGTCTATTTACCAGGTGTTCCATCACTTTGCAACTGCACTGGTAAGAGCAATGGGACGATAGTGGGAGGCTTCATGTCCCGTAGTGCCTGGTTTGTGGAAAGGGAGAACAATGGCAGATTTCCACAGCTGTGGAAGAACTCCTTGTGACCAAATAAGATTGAAAAGGCATAATAGGACTGCAAGGGCTGACTGATGTAAATGTTGGAGCATACGAATATGAATGTCGTCAGGCCCAGCTGCCGATGATCGGCAAGCTGAGAGTGTTGCCTCCAGTTCTTGAAGTGTAAAAGGCACATTATACTGTTCTTCTCTGAGAGAAGAAAAGTCCAAGGGTGCTAACTCTCTGGCAGACTTTGAGGAAAGAAACGAAGGGCATAGATGGAGCCCGAGAAATACGGACCAGATGATTGCCAATTTCATTGGCAACATCTAGTGGGTTTGCTATATCAACACCGGCAACCCGCAGAACAGGAGCCGGGTCAGGAGAATATTTACCACTCAGTTTTCGTACTTTTTTCCAGACTGCACTCATAGAGGAGCAGAGGTGATGGTGGAGACAATCTCGCCAGCAAGTGCGTTTAGCGTCACGGATGACACGGCGAGTGATTGCACGCTTCTGCTTAAAACCAAGAAGTCTCTCCATGGTTCTATTGTACCGGTACCTGCCCCATGCAGCGCGTTTCAAATGTACTGCACGAGCACAGCAGGAGACCACCAAGGCACGCATTTCTGAGAATGCCTGCCCGAAGTTTGGGGTATAGAATGAGAAGCTGCGGTTAAAACGGAGGACGAGAAGAGGTGTAAAAGCTCATCAATGGAGGATGAAGAAGGAACCTCACTAAAAACAGTTAGTTGTGAGTAAAGGTTCCAATTTGCCTGATCAAATTGCCAGCGTGGGATACGAAGAGGCGGTGAATATGAAGGGGAAGTAAGAACGATTGGGAAATGATCACTGCCATGTAAGTCCGGGAGAACAGACCAGGTGAAGTCTAATGCGGCAGAGGAAGAGCAGACTGAGAGATCGATGCAAAGAGAGAGAGTGAGTCCTAGGATCAAAATGGGTGTGAGTACCTGTATTTAAAACATGGAGGGGGTGGGTGGAAAGAAAAGCCTCTAACTGAATGCCACGGGAATCACAGTGAGACCCCCCTCAGGGGAAATGATGGACATTAAAATCGCCGAGTAACAGAATCGGTGGTGGTAATGACGAAACAAGAAAGGCAATATCCGGAATAGATAATGCCCGAGAAGGAGAGAGATATAAAGAACAGAGCGTATACCACCTATGCAAGTGGATACGGGCTGCTGTGTAATGCAGCGAAGTACGAACAAATAGCTGATGGTACGGAATATCAGTGCGTAGAAGAAGGGCACTTTCATTAAAGGTCCCATCAGGAAAAGGATCTGAAGAATACAATAAATTATAGCCTGAGATGTGAGAGATAACAGCAGAGTGTAATTTTGATTCCTGTAAGCAAACACCAACAGGGGAAAACTGGGAGAGTAACATCTGAAGCTCACCCCGATTACCCGAGACCGCGTATATTCCACTGTAAATAGGCCATGATTGGCAATAATAAAGATACTTGAAATCCGCAGGTAAGGGTTCCTATGGACTAGAGGGGTTAGAAAAGTCCATGCGGAGGCAGCAGAAAACGTTCAAGCAGCGAAGGAACGGTGCGCTGTGAAGAAAGGAGTTGCGCAGATGGAGGAGAGGAGAGAGAAGGGATGGAGGGTGGCTCAGTGTCCATTGATGGTTTTGTCTCTGCAATATATTCACAGATTGCTTCAAGTGTTTCGGAATTCAGAGACGTCGTATGGGAGACAATATTGGAGATGGTAGGGGAAGGATGAGTAAAGATTGGAACTGTAATGGATTGTACCAAGGTAGGGGGGGGGGCAAAAGGGTGGAGGGAACTGGAGAAGAAGCATGGAAGGGAACAGAAGAGGCAGAAACCTGGGAGGTGGCAGAAGAGGAAGAAACTTGGGAGGGAACAGGGGAGGTAGGTATAGTACGAGGAGGAGGGTGAACCTCTACACTTGTAACAGAGCCAGTGAGAGGGAAAGAACCCGGTCCAGAGACAGGGAAGGTAAAATGAGGAGGTGGAAGAAGGGAAGGAGGGATTAAAGGACCTTTTTTTGACTTCTGAGAAGTAGAGGGACGATTGGGAGGAGGTGTCGTATGAGGTCTCGTCGATACTGAGGCTTGTGAGGGAGAACACGAAGAAGCGAGAACAGACCGAGGCGTTGAAGTAGGGACGTCTGAGCCTAGGACAGCAAAAGAATTAGATACAGGAGTGACTATGGGAGAGGTAACAACAGAGGAGGCTGCAGAAGATGGGACCCCAGAAGTGGGGGGACGTTTTGAAACACTGAAATAAGAAACACGAGGTAGTTTCCCTTGGAGGGGGAGATGAGAAACTGCCATGGCATAAAGGAGACCTTCTGCCTCTTTGAGGTAACGGATTTCCTGCTCATTTAAGTAGACTTGGCAACGGCGAGAGTACGAAGGGTAAGCCTCATGACAATTAAGGCAAGAAGGAGGTCGATTGCAAGACGTATTAGAATGGTCACCGGCACCACAGACTGGGCATTCGGTTATGGATCTGCAATATTTCGCTGGATGGCCAAATCGCCAGCAATTTCTACACTGTTGCGGTGTAGGGATCACCTTTCGAACTTGTAACCGATGTCCTGCTACATAAACTGAGGATGGGAGTTCACGGCTGTCAAAAGTTAAACGAGCCACATTGCTAGGATATCGTCTCCGCCCGCGGGCAGGAAGAACATAAGTGTCTACCTTGAGGATTGGGAGATCTTGGAGTTCCAGCTGTTCAAGAATGTCATTGCCACATGTCTGGAAATTTTGTTGAACTATGGTATGGGGCAGAATGACGGTACCACTACAAGAATTGAGGGAATGATGTTTTTCAATAGTGACAGGAACAGTATCTATATGGGAAAGAAGAAAAAGATCATGAGCTTGGGTAGCATTCTGAACAGTGATGATGCGCGTACCGCTCTTAAGAGCATGAAAAGAAATATCTTTACCAACATGGCGTAGGAGTGCCTTGCCAATACTGTGGTCGGAAAGATAGGCAGTAGAGGAAGTCGGTCGGAAAGTGAAGAATTTAGTCCATTGTGCAGTCTGAAACTGAGCGTGGAAAGGGAGTGCAGGACGTGTCGATCTTTTCCGAGAAGAACGAGAAGGTGGAGAAGTATCATCAGCAGGTAATTGTCGTTGGCATTTAGGCGTGGGACCAGAGTTGGTCCGACGTGGAACGGGCCGGCGATTCGAAAATTGCCGCACCGTAGAGGGAGAGGCCGGAAGCATAGTCAAAGGAGAGCGGAGGTCAGATAAATCAAAGGAGTCAGTCGAGACCTCAGTACCTGAAGCGGGTGAGGAAACAACACCAGCAAGAGGTACAGAGGCATGAGGAGTGTCCGAAGAGTGGTCCAAAGATGAGGCGGGGTCAGAATGGGGTGCGGTATCAAGAAGGGGCCCGGGGGTACCAGGTTCATGGACTGGGGCTGCCATGGTTAGGTTATTTCTTTCTTTTTGTTTTTAAGAAAAAAAAAGAAAAGAAAATAAAAATAAAAAAAGAATAAAAAAAAGGGGGGACCAGGGAGGGATAGTTCCTAGGAGGAATGAAAGGGCCAGAAGTCTCCCTCTGCGCCCAAGAGGACCTCAGCACCACAAGTAGCGTAGATGCAGCATGGAACCCGTGCCATACCCTACCCATCATGCCAGTAAACCAGCAATCCGGGATAGCAATCTCACATCTGCCGAGCTACCTCGGTGGACAAAAGAGAGGGCGGCCGGATATCCACCACAAAGCATACCTCCTTCAGCCACCACCCCTGGAATCCGAAAGGTGGCTTCCAGAGATACACCCGTCACCCGAAAGACACCCAAAGCCACTCTCCGGAATACCTGAGAGGGATCGGGACATCCCCAGGCGATCCAGATTCCACGGCAAACTACGCCACCACCAAGAACCTCAACGGAATGGGATGGATCCCGGTACCCTTTCCCCTACCTAGGAACTAGCGCACCTGTGGGAAAAATCCCAAAGGCCAAAAAGAGGAAGGGCAAAAGGGAGGGGTGGGGAGGGGAAGGAGGAAAGGGAAAAGGGGAGGATGGGATAGGGAAGGGGGGATTGGGGGGCAATTAGGTTCAGTCTGAGGAAGGAGACCGACAGGTCTAATTCCTCAGACCAAGAGCCTCTTCACCACGCCAAGGAGCCCCCCTTGAAGAGGGCCTGGTTGTTAGCCGACTGGTGTGGGTCACATCCTTGGAACAAAATTAACCCAAGTTGCCCGAAATGCTTTGCAATAATAAGGGGTTTTTCTATAAAATAGGTCACTGAAGTCAGCTAAGTCTGTTTTACGTTGTATTACGTACTTGCAGACAAATACTTTTATATTATTAATTTTACTCGGTCTCTCCTAAGTGATGCAAATTTTAGCATACTGCAATTATAAATCTACAAGACATTTATATTTTATTCTGTTATCATTACCTTAACTCTTTCATTGGAGAGATATGAGCAGGAATAAAAGAATATCATATAAACTTTTATTAAGCTTCAAATGAAACACACAAAATTTACATCCATGTCAGTTTAAAAAATTTACAAGCACAGAAATCCTCCATTACAAATATAAAAACATTAGGGAACAACATTCTGAGAAAAACCATTTAGGTAAAGTAGAATTCTCTGCCTAATTAGCAATTTAGAAGCTGTATTCAAAACTTGGATAGCATCAGAAATTAAAACTTTTACCTGGAGAGAGTTTTGGGGGTCAACGCCCCCGCGGCCCGGTCTGTTATCAACACTAAAGCAAGTCATATTCAATGAAGTGTGCCAATAATTTTTTTTTTTATTTGCTACCACTAAATAAAATCCAAAAACAATTTTTTCTATTTTTCTTAAACATAATAAAAAAAAAAAAGCTGGAAGCATACTGAACATACTAAAACCTTGTGGTTAGGTTGGCAGCATTTGTTGCCAAATCGTGTTTAGTATCAAAATGGTGAAATACTCAACTTTACAAATTTATTTCATAAGAAATTGAATGTTAAATTATATATTCATTACTTAACATGTTAAAAATGAACATTCCTTATCTTACAATTTATGGAGATCCTATTCTCTAAAAAGGAAGGGGGTGAAGAAAGGTGGTCTTAGCTAAACTACCCTTCGTACTTCAAAAAACTGTTTGAGATAATACACTTGACCAATGGTCATGGCTACTAGTACCAGGGCCTCAAACACGGACCACAAAACCACTCTTGAATTAGTATTGTCGTTGATGGAGCGATGAATACGTTCACGCACTTCCATGTAATCCTGTTCATGCTTGACGCCAGACAATGCTGCCGACAACTCACGAATCATGTCTTCTATTTTGTTGCTACTTCCTTCTCCTAGAGAAATAAGAAAAGTTAAATCAGTCAAAATGTTCAATGTTTACAAGAATATGGGATGGTAAGCAACAACCAAAAAAAACCCTGTAAATACAAATGCAAGGGAAAAAACAAAAAAAATTCATTAAGGGCACAAACATGGGCCTGTGGAGCAAGCAGGTAAAATCCATCATTCAATTTGACATTCCAGACAGCACTGTAAAAACTTAAAACAAGAGCCCACCATCCCCAAACAATGGGCACTTTAAAACGGCAAGATTCGTTTATGTTTGAAGAAGAATATGTAATAAATGTATTTAATAAATGTTTTAAATGCAACCTCTCCTCACTTAGCAATGTACTTGCTTACCGACAACTCAGACTTACGACAGGCTCTCTGACAATTATGCATACCTAATGTATATTAGAGCTGATTTCCTCTATTCTGTTTATTACAATATACAGCACAATATTGTATAAACATTCAAAAATAAACCAGAATTATAAATGGTGCAAAGGTGACATTAAAACAATATCAAAGATGGTTGACATAAACCCACTACCATCATAGTACGTATGTGCCTCACTTAGCGACAAATTCATTTACCGACATCGTCTTAGGAATGGCACTCCGTTGTTAAATGAGGACAGGCTGTACATGATGAAATAATTTTAATTTGGATTTTTCTATTATGGGGAGAGAAATTACGCAGAGTGAATATGACTTGGACAGAAGGACAAAACAAACAATGCATGGAAAATACAAAGATTAATTATGTACAAAAAATAATAATAGTACAGCAGCTGCACTACAGTGGACGAGGAAGAGCTAACGAGGACACCAAGGAAAAAACAGTGAATCAGTTCAGCTGTGTGCAATAATAATAGTCAGCGCTAAATCCAGAAAGGTCATACAGTGCCGCAGGGTCGAATGTGCTAGAGGAGGAATATGTGGAGATTAGAAAGGGGTGAGAGGCAGTAGTCAGCTGTGTCATAGTACTAAAAAGAAGAAATCCAGGGACAAATCCACTCCTGCCCAGTTAGTAGCACCCTGAAGCAGTGTCTAGTGTGCCACATGGTGGACTAAGCTATTCATTCTGCTAGTGCCCCTTCAGCTAAGAAAAGCATCATGAAAGCCTTTCTTAGCTTTTAAAGTGGTTTTAATCGCAAATACACAACTAGAAAGCAACATGTATGGGGGTGGGGGAGGAGTATGTACTGAGGGGAAAGAGGTAATCTTAAGTTGCAGAGCATTGGGACAAAAAAAAGTTGTCTAATTATTTTATGCATATCCAATAATTTTTTTTTTTTTTTTTGCAAGCTGGGGTCTATTAATGCTTAGGAAAATTATATCTCCTCTCTCAGGGTAACAGGATTATACAAAAATCCTTATGTACATTACAGTATAGCCTTTAGATGCCACTAAAAGATTTGGAACACTATGCTAAAAAGAAATACATAATTATATACATTAACAGTAATGTGTGAACACTGTATTAATGTATACAACTATTTGCTCAAGTGGTCAAACAACTGTATTACAGACTAGAAACCACAAATTTTTACAAAATAAACAAGCTTTAACCCTTAAATGGTCCAAACGTATATATACGTTTTTTCGACATCTGAAAGTATGTAAAAAAATGTAGATCTTCTTTTTTGTTTTACATTTGAAAACGTGTAAAAAAAACTTTTATCTACATATTTTTTTTTGTTATATTTGAAAATATGTAAAAATAAGTAGATCCACTTTTGTAGCGCTACGAATTTGAACGTCGATTTGTTTGGACCGTTTAAGGGTTAAGTACCGTTTGCTATATCTGATAAACAAAGGACCCTACCTAGGTAATTTTTTTAATTCAATTTATTTCAGATTAATTCTAGTGTTCATAAAAATATACAAGATCAAAGTGCACGGATGAGTTAGTGGCTAATGAATGTTAGATGCAAACTTCACTACTAAACTGCATTATGGATAAAAGGCAAAGCTAAATTAAAAATACTATACTAACAATAAAAATTCTTGCTATAACTGAAAGCAATTGGTTTGCACAATTCAGTTAATACACACTACACAGTTTGGGTATTCTGAAATGCTTTACTAAATAAATTTACATCAGTCAACATGTTAAGGTATTCCCTTAAAGAGCATTATTAAAATCAAAACAAACACGAAACCCACTAAGGGTCATACAGTTTCAAGAGGATTATGAGGGGTTCACAGGAAAATTTAAACCAAGGGAATAACATTGCCAGACCTGTATGAATGGGATACTGTGTAGGCCATCCTAAGAAAAAAAAAAAATTAATAAATACAGTACATGAAAAACATGTACAATACTAGACAAACATACAAATCAAAAATAAAAACTACTCCAAGACATCCTGGATACATAAAATTATCAATTTATTATGGTTCAGGACAGATAAATTACTTCAAATCTTGTGGTCTGTGTGTAAATAGATTCATATAGTATTTTGGCATTTAATGATGATACAGTACTGAATTTGGACAGATTTATAGGACAAAACTAACCTAATGCAAATAGTATTTGCATTTAATATGCATTAAGTATTTAAAATAAAAATAAAAACACAACTAGTTAAAACAGATTCTTCAATTTCAGTATAATAAAGCAAATCTTCCAGTATATTTAACCCATAAACGGTCCAAACGTATATATACGTTTTTTTTCAACATTTGAAAGTATGTAAAAAAGTAGAACTTTTTGTTTTTTTACATTTGAAAATGTGTAAAAAAAATTTGATCTACTTTTGTAGCACTACACATGTGAACGTAGATCTGCTTGGACCATTTACGGGTTAAATTTGATACACGCTACAACTAAATAAAAAAAATTATTCATAATTATCTAGAAAGAAAATAGTGTACTCAGCTATGTTAGTTAGCCAAGTGTGGGGCAGAGGAAGGATAGGGGGAAGAAGAAAAAGAGTGATTATTATCATTACTACTACACTGTTTGAAAATGCATGCAAAGTTGTAAGAGTGTGGCTTTGAGCAGATAAAGTTTAGCATGTAAGGGCATTGAAGATGTCCAAAGTGAATTGTACATGCTCTCCGACAAGACAGTAGTACATTTATTAATATTTGGTTAGCTGTAGTAGCCACTGGGCAATCCACATAGGAATGCCAGGCATTTTTCTATGTGTTATCCATGTGCAACGTTTGTGTGTGTGTGGCTGATTCGTAAAAAGTGCAAGCATGACTTCCCATGCCTGACAGTGATTGAAAGATGGCTAGGAGACCAATTGCAGTTTAATGGAAGACAATGTTGTCCTTATTCGGAACAATGCTGTTGCCAACAGTTCCAGTCTGAAACATTACTGGAAAATAATATCTATGAAACAACAACAAATAAGGCAGACATGATTGCAATGTGCATGATACAAAGGAGTATGTCATATTTAATTACTGTGTAAATGCTGGCAGACTAATAAATGTCCATTAATTACTTTGGAAAGAATGCAACATAACTTACTCTGAGGATTTGTAAATGGTGTGCGCTATAGCACAAGACTGCCACCGAAAGTGTTCAAGGAAGAGTGAGAACGAGATTAGCATATCTCGTGACTTATAATACTGCCAGAATTCAAAGTGACTAAAGATTCATAATAAATAAGGTTGCCTACTAAATGAATATATTTTGCTAACATTTGCAATCAATGTATTCTGTATTTATGAGGATCGTGAAAGTTACAAAAACGAAGTGACAAAGGCAATGGGGATATACTGCAAGGAAGGAATGTTTGCTTTTTTATACAAGCTCTCAACCACAGAAGACTGGTAGGCCCCTAAACAAGCAATGCCTAATTTAAGTGGCTTGGTCAGACAAGGCCTTGGAGGCAATGATTCCTGGAATCAATGCTAGATATATGCATCATAAACCATGGACCAGGTGGGGTCTGAGCCCATGGCGAGGGAGTCCTAAAACTACAGGCCAGCACGTCTGGTTCATACATCATAATAGGTAGTTTGTAAAACAATACTTTGAGGATTTTGTGCATGATGTCATGTATATTGATTTTTCTCCACCACCCACTGCAGAGAGCGAGATGCCACAGATGTTGGCCAGGGTCCTCCATAGAAAATACACGACTCCACTGATGCTCACTGTCCACTAAAGTGGGATGCCACACAAGTTAACCACTGCCTACCATATGAAGAATAGTACTGCTATACATGTTGAATGCTAACCACAGCAGGAATTTATGGTACCAGTATTCTTTATTACTGCCTGCAGCAAACAACTGAAGCTATGGACAGTAAACACCAGCCTCGGAAAGAAATACGTATTGTCACAAGTGTTAACCACCACTCACAAGTGAAAAAAAATAAGCTTTAAAGGTTTCACAGGTACTGTGTTAGCATGCATGTTAATTTTAGCTATAACAAAAATTAACAAACAGTTACAAGGAAATAAATTTTTCTGAAATTTATTAAGAACCAAAGAATTCAATAAAGAAAATTCATTGCACTTTTGGATACACAGATAATAAATACTAAGGGGAGGGAAAAATTACACACCTGCTGTAGGAAGTGGCATGGATTCATCTACAGAAAGGAAAATCAGAAAAAAAAAAAAATGAGAAACTAACAATAGCTGAAATATAATTGAAAGTATTAACAAAACAGAGCAAAAGTTAAAATATTAACATACAGTACGTTATGCTAAAATAATAATAATAATAAAAAAAGTGCCAGCAGAAAGAACTTCCAAATGCAACAAAGGTAAAGGTAAAGTTGGTATCATCAGTGAATCTAGACTGCAAAACTAATAATTTTCCCACATTTAAAGCATTCATAAATTGTAAAAAATAAAATTTCAAGTTACAGTGCCCATGAAAATATTCTGAAAGCTGGTGTTCAATACACTTATAGATGTTTTATCAACTTAGTGACAAAAATTAGCATGAACTGCTTCAACAAAAAATACAACTAAATACACGTTAGTAGAAATGCACAAAAATAATGGAAGAAATGACAGTGGCAAGGCACAAGTTTAGAAGTTCCAAAAGAACATGCCAAACATTCTACAGTGAAACTTGCAGTGTGATTGCCCCTTAGATCTCCCCTTCAAGTATATTACAGAATTAAAGTCCAACAAGTCCTGCTTTCCTCTCAAACAGTGATTACTCTTGCAGCCTAATCTCACTACCACTTACAAATGATAGCTACTCATGATTCCCCAACACGCAACCTCACGAAATCCTGACAAGCTGGCTGCAAGTTTTGAATTTATATTTAACACATGACAGTGAATCAGCAAATAATGGTAAATGGGTTTCCTCTTTTTTGGTCACCCTACCTTAGTGGGAGATGATCAATTAAAAAATACAAACAATTTAGAAGTAAACAGGAAAATAGTTGAAAAAATTTGGGTAAGGGGGGTGGGAAGGAGGAGGTAGTAGCCCTGAAAACACAAGCAGTCAGCAATACAGGAAGAGAAAGCACAATGGAAAAATACTAGAAGACAGAGAATGGCGAGGCACCTAAAAAGAAATGGATACACAAGACAACGAGCATGGGTTTCAAGATGGCAAAATGAAAATGTAATTATCTACAGCTGTTTAGACCATTTTATTTTTTTTATTAACACATTGGCCATTTCTCAAGGCTGGGTGGCCCGAAAAAGAAAAACTTTCATTATCATTCACTCCATCACTGTCTTGCCAGATGCATGCCTACACTATAGTTATAAAACTGCAACATTAACACCCCTCCTTCAGAGTGCAAACACTGTACTTCCCATCTCCAAGACTCAAGTCCAGTTACTTAACAAAAAATATGAAGTACCATAAATAATGATTATAGTATGGGATTCCATCAAGAAGACATACAACCACTATGGAAAGAAAAAAGTAAATAGGGTGAAACCTGCAGCTGCAGGTTATGCTCCATTAGTGGGATAAACAATACTGCATAGCAAGGAATTGGAACTTGTTTGCCATAAATAACAAGTTAAGCTGGCATAGAAACTACAGTTATTAAGTAAAAAACAGGACTTTCAACATTAAAAATAAAGTGTGAATGAGTGGCTATGTATGTGTATTGTAAAAGGCAACTAAAATGCTGGGAATAAGGGACTAGTAACCCCTTCTGCATACATTACAAAAGTTAAAAAGAGAAACTTTTGTTTTTCTTTTTGAGCCACCCTGCTTCAGTGGGATACAGTCAGTTTGTTGAAAGAAGAGTGGCTATGTGTATTCAGGGGATAATGGACCCCATGAAGCATGTAAAAGTGTATTCCCCTCTTCTGCAACAAAGGTAGTTAACACCTGGTTATGTATAGTTAACCATCCTTATAACAAGCTACTAGCTTTGATACTTGTTTTTTTCCAGTCAAGTTCAGAAATTAATCAATGAACAGGTGTCACAAAATACCCTATTTATTGAAGAGAGTGCCTTCCACAGTACATATAAAAGGTGGCATAAGTAGCTTTTGAAGGCATAATACAAATTCTAATGAGGGTATTATACTGAATAATGTTTACCCAAAGTTATAAAAAGAACTAAATTATCAAATTAAAATGGAATAACACTAAAATCAACACAAATCCTATATTATTTAAAGTTTCAACAGCCTATGAACAAACAATATTGAGGATATTTTTGCAAATGTGAAAAAAAAAAAAACCAGAAATGCTAAATTAGCCATGCATAAAAAAATTATTAAATTTCCTGTCTTAAAGTTGTACAACTCCTCTATGCTGTGTTTTCCAACCAATTTAAAGCCTGGATTTATTTTTTTTTAATTTGCCAAAAGTGCTCAAAGGCAGGTCTGAGGAGCACATGCAAACTGGCTGCCTAAAAACCAACAGACTGGCAAATGGAAAGTAATGCATAACATTTGGACTCATAGTGGCTGCCAGAATTCCACATATTATAGCAAATGTAAATAGTGGAATTTAAAAAACTTACATGTTACATAAGAGGAATAAGGAATGTTCACGGAAATTTCATTGTTAATTGGGGGACTTAGTAAGAAGTCACATTAGCTTGCTCAACACGCATTACACGTACAGAACATAATGACAGACCTGGCTGGGAGAAATTCTGCATATCCCATTCTGCATCAAGCAGAAAGTATCATTAGAGAAGACAAACAAGATATTTACAGGAAACTGCTACACAAAACTGCTCCAAGATCAAAATAATCACATTCTGAGCACTTGTATCTACTGCTAAAAACTATTTAAAGGTTTTTTCTTTTAGAAATACAAATGAATCACTTACGGATTGTATCATAGGCTTGTTAACAAGGATACAAAAATACTGGTGGAAAGTTACGAAAAAAATTTTCTTGCCTTTCAAACTATTGCATTTAAATCAATCTTTGTTGAAGGAACTATTTCAAAAAGAAACCATTCCTAAGCACAGTATATTTAAGTCACTAATGCTATTACTACTTTGCAATCAGAACTCAAAATGTGGAAAAACTTTTGTGGTACATCAACAAAATTATTAAGCAAAAAAAAAAAAAAAAAAAAAAAAAAAAAAAATTATAGGCTATATACAGTACACAATTTAGTATCTTTTGTACATGAAGCCATACAAATTAAATCTTACACATTATTCTTAAAACATATAAAAGTTATAGCAAATCATAACAAAAATATAAAGAGGCTGAATATTAAGCAAAAATATATATAGAGAGTGAAGGTATTACACTGTACAAGATAATAAAACCAGTATTAGGCACAAAGTTAATGCAATACTGGATAATACAAAAGAAAAGGTTAGAACTGGAAAAATGAAAATCTGGTCCTGTTGCATAAAATGAAATTTAAAAGGAATGAGAGATGCAGAATCTATTATAAGTGACAAGATAGGTGCCATATCATAAAATACATAGCTGAGTGCTATGTGCAGAAAGATGAACTTTCTTGAAAGAGAAAAAGTAGACAGACCTGGATGAGGCAGATTCTGCGCGTACCACCCTGCATAAATCACAATATCAGAAATAGTACACAATATAATAGTCCCTCTGAAACAATGAGTGAACATTAAGGTATGTGAAAAATATTAACAAGAAAGATTACTAAATGGTACAAACAAATCAGTGTACACTCTGAAGCATTCTAATTTGTAACATTTTATCAAAATGTCATGTAAAATGCAAATTCTTAGAAGCAATAAATGGTCTAGGTCATCATATTGTATACATATAGAAACATTACAAAGACATTTCATTAAAATTAAATCTATCAAAAAATATGTCAATATCTCACCCTCAGTATTCGCTGCATCTTTATCAGCTTTGGACTCGTCCCCAATTTCCATGGAAAACATCACAATCTTGGTGGTCATGGTGGACATTTTATTGGAAAAGCAGTAAGTGTAAACACCATCCATACTGGCGGGGAACGTGTAGCGACCGTTGGACTCCCGTTCACCCTCGTGGACAATCTTTCCATCGGGACTAAATATCTTTATGTCTATGTCAAGAAAGCCACCTTCAGCTACCTCAAAAGCCAAGCCTGAAAGAGATTTATAAAGTAATTATTTAAAGGATAAAAATTACATTAATGGTACAAAGCAGTAATCAAGATCTTTAAATCTACCAAGTCTTTACTAATGAGATTTACATAAGAACATTGCAGAAAGGATTGCTTAACTCATATAATTGAAGGCTCATATAAAACAAAAATCAATTAAGAGTATCAACGCTATTTGAAGACAAAAATGTATTAGTATGATGGCTTTCAAGGATCCGTATGGAAACAAGTCACCGACTTTTTTGGATTATCCTAGGTAATTTACACATGTCAATAATTGTACTTATGTGTACCTGTACCTAAATAAATTTATGAAGGTACTTTTATATATCCATTCAATGGAAGCTATTTTCCACTAAACCACAGAATACACCTACCATCCGAGTAACGACCGAGTTCGGTTCCGAGAAACTGGTCGTAAGTTGAAATGGTCATAAGTCGAACTTTACTACTGAATATCAACATAACATTTTTGTAATGACTTTATTTTATTGTTTTATTTTGGTATTTCATGTTTCACTTTACTTTTTATGCTGTTAGCACTGTATTTTATACTGTAAGGTTTAGGATAAACACTGTGTACACACAAACACTTGTTTATTTCCCAGAAATTTGGCATAAAAAACACGGTCGTAAGTCGAGTCGTCGTAAGTCGAGCAGGTCGTAAGTCGGATGGTAGGTGTACTTGAATATTTTTTAATCGTGAGTGAATGGGTACATTGTATGATGTCTGGGGCAAGTTTTCACAGTTAAGTTTATTTTGGTATGGGTAAACAAGAATAATTTTCATACATAGTTTAACAGGAACTGTGACTCGACCCCTGCAACCACAAACAGTGTAAATTACCTAGGATAGCGCCCCAAAAGTCAGAAAAAGTGACTATTTCCATTAGGGTCCTTGTAATATTTTATTATATAAATCCTAGCAGTAAATTATAATAGAAGTCAGTCATGATTACAAATTAAATGTTAAAATAACTAAACTCAACTGTGTGAAAAATCAGTTACAGTAAACGGAGATAGTCAGACTCAAGCGAACCGAGTTATTTACATGAACATTAAAGAGAGCACCAGCTTAAAATAACAGGTACAACAATGCTAACTATAAAAAGCTAAACCTGTAAGGATCAAAGCACCCAAGGAATTTCTTTTTTGGGGGGGAGAAATTTAATAAGGTGGGGTGGGGAGGTTTAAAGCATAACGACTACACAAGGGTCATTTGAGGAAGCACATTACCTCTTCGCTACCAAAGCATACATTAATAAACTAAAATAAGATCTAAAGAAAACTAAGAGAGAAATACAAACGTATATAAACCCATAAGTAAGTTTATTCAAGTACAGGTACAAACAAATACAGGTACATAAATTATCATCATACATAGCAGCATGTGTGTAGATTACATAGGATAACCCAAAAAAGTCAAACAAAGTGACATTTACATTGGGGTCCTTCCAAGATTGATGCCAACAGCATTTGATGTTCCAAACAGTCACCCATCCAAGTGCTATCCAAACCCAATGTTGTTTAACTTTGCTGATTGTAATCTAATTGCAGCCAGCCGGCCGAGTGGCCCACCCACCGGCCAGGAGTTTTAGGGCTCCCCTGCCATGAGTTCAAACCCCACCCGTTTGGTGTTTTTTTTTTTCAGGTCAGTCAGTCCGGGGGTGGCCCAACCAGGTCAGTCAGTCAGTCCGGGGGTGGCCCAACCAGGTCAGTCAGTCAGTCCGGGGGTGGCCCAACCAGGTCAGTCAGTCCGGGGGTGGCCCAACCAGGTCAGTCAGTCCGGGGATGGCCCAATCAGGTCAGTCAGTCCGGGGGTGGCCCAACCAGGTCAGTCAGTCAGTCCGGGGGTGGCCCAACCAGGTCAGTCAGTCAGTCCAGGGGTGGCCCAACCAGGTCAGTCAGTCAGTCCGGGGGTGGCCCAACCAGGTCAGTCAGTCCGGGGGTGGCCCAACCAGGTCAGTCAGTCAGTCCGGGGGTGGCCCAACCAGGTCAGTCAGTCAGTCCGGGGGTGGCCCAACCAGGTCAGTCAGTCAGTCCGGGGGTGGCCCAACCAGGTCAGTCAGTCCGGGGGTGGCCCAACCAGGTCAGTCAGTCAGTCCGGGGGTGGCCCAACCAGGTCAGTCAGTCAGTCCGGGGGTGGCCCAACCAGGTCAGTCAGTCAGTCCGGGGGCGGCCCAACCAGGAGGTCAGTCTGAGAGGTGGCCCTAGCCATGATACCAGTCTGGGAGGGAGGGCCCCGAGCCACAACCTCAGTCTGAGAGGGCCCCAAGCCACAACATATCTAAGGGGCAAGTCTGGGAGGGCCCCATACATACACATGCAATGTAATCACCTTTGATCCAAGAGGTCAGCCGCGAATCCAAGGAACAAAAGCCCTTCACTAACATCAAAACACCTTTCCTCGAGGCCCCAAACTAAAAAAAGACAGCCATAAATAAGCCATTCCAAGCCACAATATGCTGCACCATCATCATCTCACCCAATTTAGTCCCGGCGGTGACTTTCTCGAAGAAACATTCCTCAGCGTGGGCGTCTATAGTGACGAAGTAGGCCCTGGCGGTGGCCAGGAGGGACAGTAGGCCTAGGAGGGCCAGCAGGTGCCTCAAATTCATCATATTATGGAGACACTGACACAATGTGTTATGGTGACACGTCTCGTCCACCTTACCTCTCTCACCACAATTTATAATTAACACTTATTTATTTGAGTTGTTGTGTTAACTGGTAGTTAATTCTTGTATTTTAATTAAGTAAAATGTGTGTATATATGTGAATTTTTGTGTATTGGTTATTTTACTCGTTTTTATTAGGGAGTTAGTTATATTTTATTTATTATGGGTATTATGTGTATCATAGGTTAATATTTATGTTTGGATGTTAATAAAGTGTATATATATAATGTTTAATATATTGTTTTACTCTTATTCACTAGTAAATTATAATTAAATAACTAAAAAATCTTCGTGCCCCTCTTTTCAAGTTCTCTTTTAACAGTCTACAATAACACCAAAAATATTTACTCACATACCAAACATTTTTAAACGAAAGTAAGGCTTATAATTAGCAAAATATTAATATTAAATGTATAATAATATTTGTAGTGTCGTATCTGCTTGTGGAGTCATCATGGCGTCAGCTGCTGTAGCTGGTCACTCTAACATGAAGTCCTCACACCTGGCCTCCCTCACCCCACAATGGATGAATAGTGAAGTGCTGACCGGTGTGAGTATCTTTAGGTTTGATAATGGTAAAAAATGTGACTCCTCTCTTAATTTGGGTGTTAGGGTGGTAAGATAACTCGTGCCCCCCCTCCTATTTTATTTTTCTGCTTTGGCCGATGGATATTAAATAAATAATTTCAGTCTCACTTATGCTGTATAGTCCTTGTGGCTTGGCGCTTCTTTTTCATTATAATAATACTCAGGCTCACTTACACAGTTTTTTGTATGAATTTTGATGCTCTTACATATTAACATGTGTAAATTACTTAGGATCAACGTGTGTAAATTACTCTTGGATCAAGAGCCCCGGCGAGGGGCTCTTGATCCAAGGAACTGCACCTATCCTCCCCTTCCTTACATTCTATCTGAACGCCTCCCATTCGCTATATGATCCCCTGTGGGTTTAGTGCTTCCTGTCATTAAAATGAGGCTCTTGCTTCAAGGAATTTGAGCAGCCATACACTTTCATGGATAATATAAGATTTGTTGGGATTTTTAACCTGGGGTAAGGAAGGTTAGCCACCCAGGATAACCTGGGGTAGGGAGGGTTAGCCACCCAGGATAACCTGGGGTAGGGAGGGTTAGCCACCCAGGATAACCCAGGGCAGGGAGGGTTAGCCACCCAGGATGACCCGGGGTAGGTAGGGTTAGCCACCCAGGACGACCCAGGTAGGTAGGGTTAGCCACCCAGGATGACCCGGGTAGGTAGGGTTAGCCACCCAGGACGACCCGGGTAGGTAGGGTTAGCCACCCAGGACGACCCGGGTAGGTAGGGTTAGCCACCCAGGACGACCCGGGTAGGTAGGGTTAGCCACCCAGGACGACCCGGGTAGGTAGGGTTAGCCACCCAGGACGACCCGGGTAGGTAGGGTTAGCCACCCAGGACGACCCGGGTAGGTAGGGTTAGCCACCCAGGACGACCCGGGTAGGTAGGGTTAGCCACCCAGGACGACCCAGGTAGGTAGGGTTAGCCACCCAGGATGACCCGGGTAGGTAGGGTTAGCCACCCAGGACGACCCGGGTAGGTAGGGTTAGCCACCCAGGACGACCTGGGTAGGTAGGGTTAGCCACCCAGGACGACCCAGGTAGGTAGGGTTAGCCACCCAGGACGACCCGGGTAGGTAGGGTTAGCCACCCAGGATGACCCGGGTAGGTAGGGTTAGCCACCCAGGACGACCCGGGTAGGTAGGGTTAGCCACCCAGGACGACCCGGGTAGGTAGGGTTAGCCACCCAGAACAACCCAAGAAAGTTAGTGGATCGTTGAGGACTGTCTTGTCGTATTTCCATTGTGGTCCTTCAGTCTTGTCTCCTGAGATGCCACCCACACCAGTCAACTAACACCCAGGTACCTACTTACTGCTGGGTGAACAATGACAACAGGTATAAGGTGACTTAACACCCACATTCTATTATACAAGGTAATTGTAATCATCTAATACTGTGTATTCACTTAAACTTATTAACATATACAGAATATGAATAATGTTCCTCCTTATCCTTGCATTGAACGTGATAGTCTCCCTTTCTCTCAGCATATGGAGAGATTCTTCTGCATTATCTGCTTAGCAGGTGTTTGCATGTGATTTAGACTGGGATTGTATAATTTGTATATAATTATTATTTTAACCAAAATGAAGCACTAAACCTACAAGGGGTCATAATTTATATATACAAGTGCTTCTCATATCCTGTACTTGACAGTGTACTTGCCTGACTTGGTTACATTGCTTAATTTTCTTACAAGTAAGAATACTGTAACATTCCACAGTAATTGATTTGGTTTTATATAGTAAATTACATAGAATTTAACCTAGGGTAACCTAATAAAGTCAGCATGATGTATTTTCCTTTAGGTACTCATATCTATAATGAAGTTCAGGTGATTAATTTGTCGAGTTTATCTTAAGTTGGTTTCAGGTATTGATGTTATCTTTTGTTTCGTCTTGTTAGAAAGCAAAATGTATTTCTGAATCAGCACTTTGTTCAGTATTGAAGATCTGGAGACAGCATTTTTAATGTTGAAAATGCTCAGATTAGCCAGGCCACCCTATGCACAAGACTCTGGCTGGGACTACTTTGGCAAATCACACATCACATACTGATAAAATTAGCTAGGTGTATCAGTTTATTCTGTATAATACAAATTGGACTTTTGTCCTATGCTAATATCTGGAGAGAGTTCCAGGGGTCAACGCCCCCGCGGCCCGGTCTGTGACCAAGCCTCCTTAGGTCAGTGTCCCAGGATGCGACCCACACCAGTCGACTAACACCCAGGTACCCATTTTACTGATGGGGAACATAGACAACAGGTGGAAAGAAACACGTCCAATGTTTCTACTCTGGCTGGGAATCGAACCCAGGCCCTCACCGTGTGAAGCGAGAGCGTTAACCACCAGGCCACCAGAGCCTGGACAATTCACTATACAGTTTTTTAAATTGTATACTAAATGTGTCATTTTTACATTCATGGAGAAGCACTAAACTCATAGGAGTTATACAGTGCTTGGGGGAATGGGTTGCATTCAGGTTTGATCTAAGGAAGGGGAGGGCAGGTCCAATTTCTTTTATGAACACCCCGTCACTGGAATCAAAGACCCTCCCTTGAGGTGAATTAATCTGTAGAATACTAAAAGTTCTTGTATGCATGATTTACCACCACACTGTACTCCATTTTGAATTCTTAAAACATCTTACACAGGATTGAAATGAGTTATCTACCTCTTAATATTCCAGACCTCTATCATGGCAGTGGAGTTTGATGGAGGTGTTGTTGTGGGTGCTGACTCCCGAACTTCCATGGGAACTTACGTTTCAAACCGTGTGACAGATAAATTGACACGTGTTACGGATAGAATTTACTGCTGCCGATCTGGTTCAGCTGCAGATACTCAGGCTATTGCTGATATCGTCTCTTCACACATGGAGATCTTGGAGTAAGTACACATATGTTAACTCAGCAATATTCCCCATCTGGTTAGAACTATCTGATAAGCTGTGTAATAGTATTGTAATATGTATAAAATTTTCTATTTTCTGTGTAAATGGGTGGTAACAATTTTTTCTTTCTTTTTCCATGTACTAATGTTTATCATATAAGCAAAAAAAAAAAAAAGTTACCATAATAAGGAGCAAGAGGTAACTATAACTGATATGAACAGCTTACACACACACAAAAATGGTTAGTGTACAAAATTACATTTTCTAACTGATGTGACATTGTAAGAATATCTCTTACTTAGGTATCTGTATGATTACCTGAAGGCAGTTTTCAGTTCTACCACTACTACAGTGCCATGTGACTTCAAGTTTAGCATTGCTCTTGAAAATAATAATTCCATAATCTCTGTTTGTCCTAAGGCCAGACTTCTGTAATTACAGGCAGTGTGTCTTTATGGCTTGCTCTTCAAATCTCCCACTTGCACATCCACACACAAAATCTGCCCATCCTATGAGATTTTTTATTATTGCATATTTTGTTAATTCAGTGATTAGAAATAATCTAAATTCAAGTTTTGAGTGTTTTCTACCTGCTGCAAGAAATTGCATGAAAAACTGCTTCTTTTCCTACTCAAGTTCAAGAAAATACTGAGTTTTTCCAAGCATTCCTTCATTAACCACACCATAGTGAATACTTTAGCACGACTCGTGAAATCATAATAACACGATTGCAGACAAACCACTGAATAGGTAGGTGTTGAACCCATGTCAAGAGTTCTAAATCTCACAGATCAGTGTGCACTGGCCTGTGAATTTTAGGACTCATTGCCATGGCTTCAAACACCACCCGTTCCAAGGATTTTTATGAATACTTTAGGTGAGGACTGGAAACACCAGCCAGGAAATGTTAGGAGAAAATCAAATGTAGATAACTACTATTTTGTTAAATATAAAGAACACAATCTTTATTTTTTCTTAGAAGTTAATATTTATAAAGGGAAATTTATTTGTATATTTGAGATGTATTATTTTCTTACAGAGTGAAGCTAGGGGAGCCTCCTTTAGTCCAAGTAGCAGCTAACACATTTAAAGAGATATGTTACAACTACAGGGACATGCTAATGGCTGGAATTATAGTTGCTGGATGGGATAAATCCAAAGGTGGTCAGGCAAGTAAAAATATGGTATTTTTTAATTGTTTGTTTTATAAATACTCGTTTCCCACTAGGGTGGCCCAGAGATGGAAACAGTCACCATCATTCATTCTGTTTTTTTCAGAAGTGCAATGATGTTAAAATTAAAATGATTAGCCAAATTTTAACATTCCCACCCATCCTTCAGTGCAGGCATTGTACTTAACAGTTGTGCACAAATTTATCACCATTACATATTTTCAATTAACCAGTAGTGATGAATATAAACAATAGCAACAAATGTCTTGGGTGCAGCATAATGGTCATGTACCTTCATATGCCATTGCCACATTTAGGAGTTATTATAATCTTGTCTGGAAGATTAATGAAAAATGAGTCTTCAGGTTTTGCCTTCAGAAGAAAAAAAAAAACGAAGAGACTTACATGGTTGTAATGGAGGAATAGAAAATAAGATTGCTATAGTGGACTAATGGAGTTTTATTTAAGAGATCCAGTTATTAGTTATGCAAGACAAGTGGTTTGCTAAGATTACCATATGGAGGTGAAACATGGGCATGGTATGAGACTTTCAGATATATATTTCTTTTCTGACTTATTTTCAGGTATACACAATACCATTAGGAGGTATGATGGTCCGCCAACCAATAGCTATTGGTGGTTCTGGCAGCACATATGTGTGGGGCCACATTGATGCAGCCTATCAGCCCAATATGAATCAAGAGGAGACAGTTGACTTTGTCAGAAAGAGTGAGTATTTAATGACAGATATGATGTACTTGTATAGAGCTTATCAAAATTCTTTCTTCAGTCCTGTACAGTATTGTAGTTTTTGTAGTCTTGGCAATCAGTTTCAGTGTTTAATCTTGTTTAAACTATAATATCTACTCACTATAGTGAGTTTTCTTTTAGGAATGCATTTCTAATAAGTATTCTTTCCAGCCCTCACCCTTGCTTTAACTCGTGATGGGAGCAGTGGAGGTGTAGTGCGTGTGGCTGTCATCACAAAAGATGGAGTTGATCGACGAGTATTCCTTCACAATGAGCTGCCTGAGTTTTACCAGGGCTAGTTAATTATAAAAGGTTCATTGTGGTTATCTTAAATACCCCCGATTTTTTTTTTTGTTTGTTTTTTGTGATTTTTTTTAAAAATCATTATATTGTAGGGGAAGCACCTGTTTTGTTGCTTTTGCGGTTTTCCACGTTTTCCACATGTATTTTATATCTTGGTAGGTTTTTCTTTGCATTCAGCTGTAAAGTTATCTAGAACTGATGTTTAAAAATTTATTAAAATATGAATACAGTTTATTTTACATAATTAACCTACAAAGTACTATTGTTTTTAGCTTTAATTGAACATTGAGAATATACAGGAACCATAAGCATTTAAAAAGGAACTACATTTTTCTTTTACATTGAGGTTGAGGGGAGTTGCTTGGTGAAAAAGCTCTTCAAGCTAAACTCCCCTTTGATCAAACCTGTCTATTTCCCATTTCCCAGGCACTTTTGACACCTTTGGCTTTAGCTCTTATCTGTGAATAAAATCATTCAAGGGGGTGCCTGTAATGCTTGTCAAGGGCTCCTGATCACTGGCACTGGACAAGCACCTAAAGTCGGTACCTGACCAGCCGGACTATGGCTCATACGTTGGTTTGCGTGCAGCCAGCAGTAACAGCCTGGTTGATCAGGCTCTGATCCACCAGGAGGCCTGGTCACAGACTGGGCCGCGGTGGCGTTGACCCCCGGAACTCTCTCCAGGTAAACTCCAGGTTTCCTCTGAGCAAATCTGTTTACCTCCCAGTTCCTAGGTGTTAATTACCCCAATGGGATTAATGCTCTCCCATGAACTTTATTTATCTATGGGAGGGGAGGGGTGAATGGTATTCAGGCTTAATTCAGGGAACTGGAGCACAGATCCAATTCCCTAGATTGAGCCCCTCACCAGTGTCAAGGAACCTCCCTTGAGGGGCCTTAATATTGGAGAAGGGCTTTGATCCAAGTAATTAGACTAGTCATCCCCTTGGATCAAGCATGACTGCTTGTCAGTCCCCTATCATTATTAGAATCTGAACTAAGTGCTAAACCCACAACCATTATTGGCTTAGCCCCTCAGGGAAAGTTCCTTGATGCTGGTTAGGGGCTCTTGATTTAGGGAATCGGATCTGTGCTCCAGTTCCCTTAATTAAGCCTGAATACCTTCCCCCCCCCCCACATGCGCTGTATAATCCCTATGGGTTTAACGCTCCCCCACAATTGTACTAATTATTGGCTTAGTCTCCCAAATCAATACAGAAATAATCTCCCCCTAGTGGAAATTTACTTGATGCTAGCAAGGAGACTCTTAAACCAAGGAACTGGACAAGTACTTTCTTCCCTTGTATCCAACCTAAGATTGCCAATCATTTCCCAGACACAATGACCTATGGGTGTAGCTTTTCTTAAATATGTATAACAATTCTTGATATTTAAAAATATAACCCTCATTTCTGCAAAAACAGTGATAATGTGCGAGTGTGGTGAAAGTGTTGAATGATGATGAAAGTATTTTCTTTTGGGGGATTTTCTTTCTTTTTTTTTGGGTCACCCTGCCTCGGTGGGAGACGGCCGACTTGTTGAGGAAAAAAAAAAAAAACCTCATTTCCTAATGGGAGGAAACTATGCCAGTGAAGGGCTCTTGATCCAAGGAATGGGACATATCTTTTCCTTTGGATGTACCCTGAATGCCCTATTTCCCTAGGCACTGTATAATGCCTAGGGTATAAATATTTTTTTAACACATCGGCCATTTCCCACCAAGGCAGGGTGACCCAAAAAGAAAGAAAAATAACTTTAATCATCATTCAACACTATCACCATCACTCATACATAATCACTATCCTTGCAGAGGCGCTCGGATACGACAGTTTTGATGTCCCTCCAAACTGCCAATATTTAGATAAAAAATATCGCACAAACCAGTTACAATTCTTAATAGCTTGCCTCCTTTAACAACCATGGATAACAACTTTAAATTCTTAAGCAAACCTTAGAAAAATTGACAAATTTTATTAAAAGCTAAAATATACAGCTTAATATCTTAATTTTTGGAAGGAAACAATATAACTAGTGCCAATTTCATTATAACAGAAAAAGCTTCCATATTTTGCTCAAATTAAAATTAAGTTAGTGAACCAACTGAACCCATGGGAAGTCAGTCCTAAAACTAGCAGGTGTGTTTGTAAAATCAATAAATATTGTTATAATACTATCAAGAGAAAATATGCTATAAAAATCTCTCTAAAAATATGAATTGTATCTTCTAAAGGCTAACATTTATATTTTTATTCATCCATAGACAATTTAGGTAAATCAGAAGAGAGAACAGCTTCAGTGTGGGACATCATTTTCTCCTGAGGGAGGTCAAGAGCCAGAGCATTTAGCTTGGTCAGGACTGACATGTGTTCTTTAATCTCTCTGCAAAGAAAAAAAAATAGTAAGGCAAAAGTAAAAAGCAGTGATATATTCAAAGAGCACAAACCATAATTCTTAACCTTTAGTTCTCTAGCTATAAAAATTGAAAAGCACTACTAAGTTAGTTAGTTTAATATCTTTATTATGCACCCCATACCCATCCTGTGGGCAGTAGTCAAAAGACTACAAAGGTACATAATGGGTCCAGGGACTGGACCCCAAAGTTATGATAGCTGAACTAGTTACAAAGGTAATGAACTTCAGGTAGATAAAAAAGCTAAACTTGACATTGCTTCATATATGACATTAACTCAAGGGTTGGGTTCACAATGCCTCACTTTGTAAAACCTCATGAATGATAAGTGAAAAATTGTGACATTTTGACATCCAAAAGACAGACACTAATTCAGAAGAGAGGTTTTGGCCTAGAAAATCCATGGAGCATAACCTAGGCAAAAATTTTATGGCTGATTTTCATTGTGGAGTCCATGTACTATGCCAAAAGAAAACAGGCACTGCATGGCAAACACTTCCAAACTAAGAATTAACTACAGTACTGATTTTTATGATACAGTTAATAAATTTCAAGTTTTAATCTTTACTTCCCAAGACTTACTTATGTCACTAAAAAATAAGTACGTACAGTGGTACCTCAAGTTATGAACCAGATTTGTTCCAGAAGGCTGTTCGAGTGCCGATGCCAAGCGAATTTGTTCCAGTAAGGAATAATGTAAATTGGATTAGTCCATTTCAGACCCGCAAAAATACACTTACAATTTTTTTTTTCAACAAACCGGCCGTATCCCACCAAGGCAGAGTGGCCCAAAAAGAAAAACAAAAGTTTCTCTTTTTAAATTTAGTAATTTATACAGAAGGGATTACTAGGCCCTTGCTCCCGGCATTTTAGTCGCCTCTTACAACACGCATGGCTTACGGAGGAAGAATTCTGTTCCACTTCCCCATGGAGATAAAAGGAAATAAACAAGAACTAGAAAGAAAATAGAAGAAAACCCAGAGGGGTGTGAATATATATGATGGTACATGTATGTGTAGTGTGACCTAAGTGTAAGTAGAAGTAGCAAGACGTACCTGAAATCTTGCATGTTTAAGACAGAAAAGACACCAGCAATCCTACCATCGTGTAAAACAATTACAGGATTCCATTTTACACTCATTTGGCAGGACGGTAGTACCTCCCTGGGTGGTTGCTGTCTACCAACTTACTACCTACAACACTTACAATTTTTTTTTTTTCAACAAACCCACCGTATCCCACCAAGGCAGGGTGGCCCAAAAAGAAAAACAAAAGTTTTTCTTTTTAAATTTAGTAATTTATACAGTAGAAGGGGTTACTAGGCCCTTGCTCCTGGCATTTTAGTCGCCTCTTACAACACGCATGGCTTACGGAGGAGGAATTCTGTTCCACTTCCCCATACATAACTGTTTGAGTTGGGAGCTGTTCGAAACTCAAGGTACCACTGTATTAGAATTCTTATATGTTAATGAAGATTGTATAGGACAAATAGTCATGGGCAAGGTTGCATATCCAAACCAATAAAATATCATATGCACAAAGTACCTCTAGTCTAATATAAAGCAGCAAATATTTGGTTTATGCAAGATATTTTGGACTGGTTCCACAATAATGTTCATACAGGTATAGAAGTTACACAGCATCAGATAAAAATATTATATGAAGTCTAGTGAGGTTAAAGCATTGTTACTGCTACACAATGATACAGACTGGGAGGATAGGGGGGTCCCTACCTTCGTTCAGGAAAATTTCCTAAAATCTAATATTTCTGCCATTTTAAGGCCTATTTCAAACCAGTCTGCAATTGACTAAAATCATCTATATTTTACGAGTACATCTTCTGGTCTATGATTTGCACCAAGAAACATTCAACAAAACCATAACCACCCTAGAAAACACCTCAAAGTAGCTATTTATGACTTGACGTGCTGTTGGAGTGCGGGTAAGGTAACATTTATGAAAAGATTCAGGGAAACTGATTAGCTGGTCCTGGAGGTGGGAAGTACAGTGCCTGCATACTAAAGCTGAGAGGATACTGCAGTTTGGAAGGGCATCTGAACTGTAGTATCTATGTGTGCCTCTGGCAAAACACTGATAGAGTGAATGATGGCAAAAGCATTTCTTTTTCAGGTCAACCTACCTCGGTGGAAGACAGCCAGTGTGATAAAAAGAAAAAAAAATTACCTAGAGCTTGTTTAAATACACTAGTAAAACAAGGGAGTTCATTTAAATTACACTAAGACATATTAAGGATAAATAGAGCTTTAGTGAGCAATCTTGAAAAACATTATATTACAATGAACATCACCTTACTGCAGTACTTCTATGTACTCATAAAAACAAGAGAACATTCCTAACTACACTGTTCTGTGAAATATGCAGTTTGACAAATACTGTGTAAACTTACAAGTGGTTTTTATGACACTCTGCACGACCTGCTTCAACCTTCTTCAATAAATGCTCTGAGGCTTTGCTTTCAGACTGAACTAATTTAAGAAGGCGCATTTTTTCATACTGCAGAACCTGAAAAGTACATAATTAAAAAATAAAAATTAAATAAAAACATTCTATTTATGGCTCTGGTTTACCCAAAATGCATGGCATAACTATGGGTTTTTCCATGTGTAATAAACCAAAATATAATGTAATATGTTCTAGGAGGTGACTTGGACCTGCCTCGCATGGGCCAGTAGGCCTGCTGGCCTGGTGGCTAAAGCTCCCGCTTCACACACGGAGGGCCCGGGTTCGATTCCCGGCGGGTGGAAACATTTCGACACGTTTCCTTACACCTGTTGTCCTGTTCACCTAGCAGGAAATAGGTACCTGGGTGTTAGTCGACTGGTGTGGGTCGCATCCTGGGGGACAAGATTAAGGACCCCAATGGAAATAAGTTAGACAGTCCTCGATGACGCACTGACTTTCTTGGGTTATCCTGGGTGGCTAATCCTCCGGGGTTAAAAATCCGAACGAAATCTTATCTTATCTTATCTTATGAAAAAATAAATTGTACTTTAACTCATACCTATTCATATCTCAAGAATAAGTGGCTTGTATATAACTGCAAGATCTTTCACTGCCTCTAACCTAGGACAGCAATGAAAGTCAAAAGACAATTTCTATCATAATTTCTGGCAAAGTTTATGGAGTAAACAATAATAGTCTGTTAATCCACGAGATCCCCTCAAGAGAGGTTCCTTGATGCTGGTGAGGGGCTCTTGATCTAGGGAATTGGATCTGCACTCCAGTTCCCTGAATTGAGCCTGAATACCTTCCATCCCCCCAAACAGGCACTGTATAATCCTACAGGTTTAACCCTCCCCCATAATAATAATAATAATCCACGAGATAAATTGATTAAATATATTTTATGTAGTGCCACATTAGCTAGAAATCAGCCTAGTTAGTATTTTAAACTTTTAAACAGTGTTAAGATATACCTTGGCATCATGTGCTCTCATGTCCATTACAGGATCACCAGATGGTCGCCATGACTTTCTGTTCAAAGGTCCAGAGTATTTCTTGACAAGTGTACCAAGCTCTTCCAAAGACTTGGCAACATCCTCTTCAATGATGGCATTAATGTCTTCATAGATAACTCTACGCACAGATTCCACCACAGAGACTCTTATAGCTTCCAAGCATTCCTCATTTTCTTTTGCAAGTAAGGGAAAGCACCTGAATGAGACCATGAGGAATATTTATTATGGGATTAAGGATACCAACATTACATATATAATTTGTATGTTAAAAATATTTTATTTTTAATTATTTCATAATGAACAGCTACAGGGATAACACAGCCTTGGGGAATGGAAGGCAATCAAATTCAATCTAAAGAAAGGGAGGGTTGCTCCAAGTCTATGAATCAAGACCCTTCCACCAGCATATACTAAAAATTCTCATACAATAATAACTACATTTTGTTTTTAAATATTTTTATTACAAAAATCCTGTTTCCTTCTAGGATTAGCGATTGCAGTCACTCGAGAAATTTACCAAATACAGTGGTACCTCAGGATACGAACTTATTTCTTTCCAGAAGGCTGTTCAAGTGCTGATACCGAACAAATTTGTTCCCATGAGGAATGATGTAAATTAGATTAATCCGTTTCAGACCCCAAAAATACACTTACAAAAGCACTTACATAAATACACTTGCATAAGTGCTCACATTTTGAGCTGTTCATATCCCAAGGTACCACTGTATAACAGCATATGTTTTGCACAAGTAGTGCATATAACATTACTGTAAGGCTGAAAACTTTATAGTTAATTTCATGCATGCAGATTTATATGTATAAGCTATTTGTTTATAATTGCTAAAAGCAGTTTTGTACAGATACAGTGGGCCCTCGACATTAGATACTAATCCGTTCCTGAGAGCTATCGAATGTCGAAAATATCGAAAGTCGAATTAATTTTCCCCATAAGAAATAATGGAAATCAAATTAGTCCGTGCAAGACACCCAAAAATATGAAAAAAAAAAAAAAATTTTACCACATGAAATATTAAGTTTAATGCAATAGAATAATTACAATAACAACAATAACAATAGATTAATAACAATAGAATAATTGACACTTACCTTTAATGAAGATCTGGTGATGATTGATGGGATGGGAGGAGGGGAGAGTGTTGATGGTGTTAGTGTTTAGAAGGGGAATCCCCTTCCATTAGGACTTGAACTGGCAGCCTCACCATGCCTTACCACACTGTGTATGCCACTACAATTCTTTGCTGGCCTTAACTTCACTCACATCACCACTAGCTGCAGGCAATTTCTTTACCAAATCATCATGCACTCCAACACACACACTCCACTTTCGTACTTTGCAATTATCTCTTTCTTAATTTCAATAGTCATTAGCACCTCTTTTCTCGAAGGGTTGGCACTAGAAGCTTTCTTGGGGCCCATGGTTACTTATTTTGCAGAAAGTAGCACCAAAAACAGTGATAATATGGATAATATGGAATGTACCGAATGTATCCTTAGATGCGTGCACACTGGCTGGCTTGTAAACACTGGCACACACGGGGCAGTTCAGGCCACACATGGACATGTCTCGTACGAATCGTATCAAATGTCGGGTTTTCCATCGAATGTCAAGGCGAAATTTTTGCGTTAAAATGCATCGAATGTGGGATTTATCGAATGTCGATGCCATCGAATGTCGGGGGTCCACTGTACTAGGGTAAACAAAAGATAATGTATCTTGTACTGATACTGGGTATTCACCATGTCACTTTGATACAGCCTCTCCTCACTTAGTGACGTACTCGTTTACCGATTTAGACTTACAATGGGCTCTCTGACCAGTATGCATACCTAAATAATGTATATTAGAGCTGATTTCTTCTATTCTGTTTATTACAATATACAGTACAGTACCACATAAACATTTATAAATACAGTGGACCCCCGCATAGCGAACGCCTTGCATAGTGAACATTCCGCATAGCGAACGCTTTGATCGCTAAAATTTTGCCCCGCATAGTAGACAAAAACCCGCTCAGCGAACTTCGTCCGAGACGCGTCCAATGTGGGCCCTCAGCCAGCCTCACATGTGCCGCCCGTCCCATTGTTTACCAGCTAGCCTCCGCGGTAACATTCAAGCATACACTCGGAATATTTCGTATTATTACAGTGTTTTCGGTTCTGTTTGTTGAAAATAAGTGACCATGGGCCCCAAGAAAGCTTCTAGTGCCAACCCTGTGGTAAAAAGGGTGAGAATTAGTATGGAAATTAAGAAAGATTTTGAAGGGTTTGGGGCTAACCCTGAGAAGCCTATGCCAGTTGTGGAATCCATTGTGCCTACTTCAAAAATTAAGGAAATGTGTGCACAGTGGGTTGAACTGCAAACCTTTATGGATGAAAATCACCCTGACACAGCTGTTGCAAGGCGTGCTGGTGACTATTTCAATGACAATGTTATGGCCCATTTTAGACAAATCGTAAAGGAACGGGAGGTACAGAGCTCTATGGACAGAAAGAAGTCCAGTGACTCTGAAGCTGGTCCTAGTGGCATTAAAAGAAGAAGGGAAGTAACCCCGGAAAAGGACTTGCCTCCTCAAGTGTTAATGGAAGGGGATTCCCCTTCTAAACACTAACACTCTCTCTCCCCTCCTCCCATCCCATCAATCATCACCAGATCTTCAATAAAAGTAAGTGTCATGTAATTGTGCATGCCTTTTTCAGTTTGTGTGTACTAAAATTAACATTTTTTTGTGGTAAAAAAAATTTTTTTTCATACTTTTGGGTGTCTTGCACGGATTAATTTTATTTCCATTATTTCTTATGGGGAAAATTAATTCGCATAGCGAACATTTCGCATAACGACCAGCCCTCTTGCACGGATTAAGTTCGCTATGCGGGGGTCCACTGTACAGTGGAACCTCAAAAATCGAACGTATCACATATCGAATGTTTCGAAAATAAGACCATTTTTTCGGACAAACTGTGTCCCTATTATTGAATGCGCCCCTATTTTTGGACCGCTGGGTACGGGACCTGTCCACTGGCCCACTCTGTCCGCGTCCCCGCGCAGGCGCCGTGAGCAGTCTAGCTTTGTTTATGCTTGAGTGAACACTAACCTGCGATCTCATTCACACATTTTACGATTATTTAATTGTGTTTAGTGCTTGTGGGGCTGTGAAATAAGCTGCCATGGGCCCAAAGAAACTTGCTAGCGGTACCCCTGTGGTAAAGAAAGTGAGAAACACCATAGATGTGAAGAAGGAAATAATACAGAAGTATGAGATTGGAGTGAGACTTGTTGAGCTTGCCAGGATGTACAGAGGACTGCGGACAGTTATTTTGTGAGACAGAAACAGACGACTGTGGAGTTATTTTGTGAGACAGACGATTGTGGACAGTTATTTTGTGAGACAGAAGCAGACAACTGTGGACAGTTATTTTGTGAGACAAACAGACGATTATGGACAGTTATTTTGTGAGACAGACAGACGATTGTGGACAGTTATTTTGTGAGACAGAAACAGACGACTGTGGATAGTTATTTTGTGAGACAGAAACAGAGGACTGTAGACAGTTATTTTGTGAGACTGGGGTCCAATGACTCTCAAGCTGGTCCTAGTGGCATTAAAATACAGAGAAGGGAAGCAACCCCAGAGAGGGCTTTGATACCGGAAGTCCTCATGGAGGGGGATTCTCCTTCCAAACAATAACCCCAACTCCCTCTCTCCTCCTCCCTATCTTCCAGATGCCATCACCAATCTTCAATAAAGGTAAGTAAAAATGCTATTTTATATTACTATACATAATTAAAGACTATAGCATTTGTTGTGTGTATGTAAAACTGTAATTAATCTCTATAAAATGTTTTTTTTTTTGTGAATATTTTTGGGTTTCTGGAACGGATTAATTGTATTTCCATTATTTCTTATGGGAAATATTGCTTCGAATCTCAGACTTTTCGAATTTAGAACTAGCTCCTGGAACGGATTAAGTTTGAAATTTGAGGTTCCACTGTATACCAAAAATATTATAAATGGTACAAAGGTTACATTAAAAAATATTAAGATGGTTACACACCCACTACCATTATAGTATGCTCCTCAGTGACGAATTCATTTACCGACGTGGTCTTACAAACGGAACTCTGTTGTTAAGTGAGGAGAGGCTGTATTTATGTGTCGAGTAATGAATAAATGTTTTATGCATTATCATATTCATGGAAAGTGCTAAACCCATAAGGATTTTACAATGCTGCAACGTATAAAAAAAAAAAAACAGAAAGGGAAGAGCTGGAGGTGCTGAGAGAAAATCACTGGCAAACAGAATGGTGGTTACAGTTGATGAAACAAATCAGCATCAGTTAGGAGAGCAGAGTCTGTAGCAAAGGTGGAATCTTTAGATTATATAAAAAACACGCACAAAAAAAAAAGTTATACAGCACTGAAAAGAGATCAGAAAGTAAGCACATCAGGGCATTGAAGTGCATGAAATGAAGCTGGTGTTACGGCTTGACGAATGAAGCATGGACTGTCTGGGCAGATGTTATACATGATAAAATATGAATAAAACAATTTATATACGTATATGTACTTTAAAACCTTTGTATAACAATGAGCTAAGGAAAGAAAGCATACATCTAAAATAAAAAAAAAATACCAAATAAGATATCACCAATCCTCCAGCACAGAGAAAATATCAGCCTAAATATAAGGAAGCGGCTATTTACAAAACAGTTTTATGACTGCTACTGATAGCTCGACCCCTCAAGGAAGGTTCCTTGATGTTGGTGAGGGGCTCTTGATTTAGGGAATTGGATCTGTGCTCCAGTTTCCCAAATTAAGCCTGAATGCCTTTCACATCCCCCCCCCCAGGCGCTGTATAATCCTCTGGGTTTAGCGCTTCCCCCTTGATTATAATAATAATAATACTGACAGCTCGAGCCTTGCCTGCTAGCTATAGCTGTTTAAGATAAGCTAACTATTATGGGAGGTAATCAGGTTTGATAAAAGGAGGCGGAGGAGATCTTCAATTCCCCGAGTCAAGTGCTCTTCACCAGCATCAAGGCACACCCCCTTGATGCTGGTGAAGGGCAGATGTTTATTTTCAAAATTCAAATTCAAAATTTTTATTTCTTTGTGTAGTATGCAAACTGTAGTTTACATGTAATAAAGCATAATTAAGCACAAAGAAAGCCACTAGCATGCATGAGGATTTCGGACATTTTGGACATACAATCTCCAATGTAACATTTTGCCACTTTTATAAATAAATAATAATTAAGAGTGTCTAGTTTGGTATAGTAGGAACTGAATTAGCTTGGGGCAATATACATGCAGTGTAAATAGACATGAAAAATACATGCAATGTATACAGACTGGAGACAAAATACATGCTGGATAAACCGGGACAAAATACATGCTGGATAAACTGTGACAAAATATATGCTGTATTACTAGTTTGGGAAAAAATTACACATTAATACACAGGGAAAATACATTCCATTAATATAGTTTGGGACAAAATACAAAATGTGCATATATTATTATTTCTGAGGAAGCGCCAGGAAGCAACCAGGCTCAATCCAAGGAAATTATTATAATTAAAATTAAGCACTAAACCCACAAGGATCATACAGCACTGCCGATGCAAGGAAAGGGATTATAATAATAATCAAAATTAAGCGCTAAACCCACAAGGGTCATAGAGCACTGCCGATGCAAGGAAAGGGATTATAATAATCAAAACTAAGCGCTAAACCCACAGGGATCATACAGCTCCAAGGAACGGGAGAGCAAATCCAATATCCCCTGGATCAAGAGCCCCCAGCATCAAGGAACTGCCCACTAATGGAGGGGTAAACAAAATTTTACTTGTCAAATTATAATTCTAATAAAAAAATAATCGCTAGAAACCCTACTTGACAAATAAGGAAGGTTTCCAGGACCCGAGAATCTTCTCAACAGTGTGGTTGATGGCGTCCTTCAGGGCCCGCAACCTCGCTCCTTCTCCCTCCTCTATTTTCAACCCTACGGTTTTCTCCGGCGCTTCCGCCATTAATACGTAATTTAATATCACCGAGGTCCAGGAGAGAGGTAGCTGTCCACCCTCAATAAATGCAGGAAACACAAGTGCCTTTAGTATTTCCTTCTTCCTCTGTGAATTCAAAACAAATACTTGGTGGACTACAGTGTGCTTTCAATTATTATTATTTTTTGGGTTGTAAATAATCGTGGAAACCGATAGAACAGTTTTTGATACTGGGCAAATAAGTCCATTTAAAAATTTAGGTATATTTATTTTAAATCTAACTTTCATGGTTATTCAAACTGAAGTTATTTTTAAATGGTGGAGATGGTCGTAGTCCCAAACCTGTTTCTCAGCACCAGCCCTCAAGCGGTAATAATAATAATAATAATAATAATAATAATAATAATAATAATAATAATAATAATAACAATAATAATAACAATAATAATAATAATAATAATAATAATAATAATAATAATAATAATAATAATAATAATAATAATAACAATAATAACAATAATAATAATAATAATAATAATAATAATAATAATAATAATAATAATAATAATAATAATAATAATAATAATAATAATAATAATAATAATAACAATAATAATAATAACAACAATAATAATAATAATAATAATAATAATAATATCTTTATTTCTACACGTACATGTACAAGGTATACAGACCATAGCTGACATCAATGACATACTACTATATAGAAAGTCCCTTGTTATGCTGAGCATTTTGCTCAAATTAGGTCAGTTTTCTCCCAGGATGCGACCCACACCAGTCCACTAACACCCAGGTACCCATTTTACTGATGGGAAACAAACAACCGATGTAAACACGCCCAATGCTTCTACCCTCGCCGGAAATTGAACCCGGACCCTCGCCGTGTGAAGCGAGAGCTTTAGCCACCAGGCCACGAGTTCTGATCTGGTTCTGATCCACCACGAGGCCTGGTCACGGACCGGGCCGCGGGGGCTTTGTAAATATAACATTTCCACCAACTCGGTTGGTAGTGCATTCAGGTTACGCAATGAGGTCCGTGGTTCGATCCTCAGTACGGGTGGCAACATTAGGAGGTGTTTCCTTAAGACACCTGCTGTCCACGCTCACCTAGCAGTAAAATAGGTACCTGGGTGTTACTGGACTGATGTGGGTCGCATCCTGGGGCAAAATTGACCTAATTTGACCGAAATGCTCAGCATAACAAGGCACTTTCTATATAGTAGTATGTCATTGATGTCAGCTATGGTCTGTATACCTTGTACATGTACTTGTAGAAATAAAGATATTATTATTATTATTATTATTATTATTATTATTATTATTATTATTATTATTATTATTATTATTATTATTATTATTATTATTATTATTACTGTCGATGGTGTGTTGGAATTTTTGTCACCACTCTGCACTAGTCCTTTTGCGTGCATTGGGGTAGAGGGGGCAGGGTTTATAAGATACAGGGATGCCTTCCTCGGATCGCACAGTAAAATACATCGAAGTGGAAAAGAATTCTTCCTCCGTAAGCCATGCGTGTCGTAAGAGGCGACTAAATTACCGGGAACAAGGGGCTAGTAACCCCTTCTCCTGTATATATAACTAAATTTGAAAAGGATTACTTTCGTTTTTCTTTTTGGGTCACCCTGCCTCAGTGGGAGACGGCCAGTTCGTTGAGAAAATATTTATATATATCGTTGTCGTAGTTGTTGTCGTATCATACATAGGAAAATATAAATTCATATATACAGAGAGTAAATATAAATTCTTTATTTTGGCCAATAATTTACATATTATACATTTTTCTCAAGAGGTAAAAATGTTGGGACAGACACAAAATAAAGAGAAATAAACACTAAATCTATAAACAATGTGTAAATTAATAAAAAATAAAATATAATTAAAATGTGTCTGAAGACACATGATGACAACTTATTATGATACATAATTTTTAAGAAATATACACTGTAGTATATATTGTCTCATTCAAAAACTTTTTTTATCCAAAAAAATAATACTCTGCGAGCCATTAAAAAAAAAATTAATAATAATGAACACTGACTCAATTTAAATCAGTGAAAATTATCAAGCAGGAGGAAAATGATTTGCAACAAAAATAGTCTCTCGTAGAGATTTTGGAGTATTTTTCCCACCTAACCAGGTTAATGCCATGGCTGCCACACTGATATATATCTATATATATATATAAGGTGAGTATTTGTCAGTGTATATATATACACGTTCAGGGTTTAATTTAATCCCCCATTTTTTTGGGGGGGGGTATTTGTCAGTATATATATATATATATATATATATATATATATATATATATATATATATATATATATATATATATATATATATATATATATATATATATATATATATATATATATATATATATATATATATATATATATATATATATATATATATATATATATATATATATATATATACACGTTCAGGGTTTAATTTAATCCCCCATTTTTTTTTTTTTGGGGGGGGTAAAATAAGTTAATGTTAACTGGTGGAGAACAGGTAACACCCAGCATTAATGACCCTCAGTGTTGTGAGGCCAAGGATTATTTTTCTATATATTTTTTTTAATTTTAGAGTGACGCTTTCAATAATAATCCAAAGAGTTAAAAATAATTATTAGTGTTATTATTATTAAAGGGAGCAGTGACAATCATGACTGACAGAGAGAGAGAGAGAGAGAGAGAGAGAGAGAGAGAGAGAGAGAGAGAGGTGGGTTAGAGTACAGGGGATGATTTTCAGAGGCTTAGGTACGAGGGACAGTCAGATCTGAAAGGTTATAAAAACCTGTAACAGACGTGTATTCACTCTGCCTGATATTCACTCAGTCTCTCACTGAGGTGCCAATTGACTGACTTGCTTTGTGACCTCCTTGAACCTTGTCGAAGTGGTGTCATGGCGCCACAGTGCCATAGTGCCATGGCACCGAAGTGTTGTGCATTCCCCTAGTGTGTGACCTCGCATAAAGACCGTGTTTCTCCATGTTTTTTTGTTGTTAATGGAGTGGGTGCCCCTGTAATTGGTGATTTGTAATTAAATAATTACATACTGTGTGTGTACTCGCCTAACTGCACTCGCCTAATTGTGGTTGCAGGGGTCGAGACTCAGCTCCTGGCTCCGCCTCGCTACTAGGTCCTCTCTCTTCCTGCTCCATGAGATTTATCATACCTCGTCTTAAAACTATGTTCAGTTCCTACCTCCAATACATCACTTGCCAAATTATTCCACTGCCTGACAACTCTATGACTGAAGAAATATTTCCTAACATCCCTTTGACTCATCTGAGTCTTCAGCTTCCAATTGGGACCTCTTGTTTTTGTGCCCCATCTCTGGAACATCCTGTCTGTCCACCTTATCTATTCCTCTCAGTATTTTGAATGTTGTTATCATGTGTCCCCTAACCCTCCTGTCCTCCAGTGTTGTCAGGCCGATTTCCTTTAGCCTCTCCTCGGAGGACATGCCCCTTAGCTCCGGGACTAGTCTTGTTGCAAACCTTTGCACTTTCTCTAATTTCTTGACATGCTTGACGTGTACTCACCTATTTGTACTCACCTATTTGTGGTTGCAGGGGTCGAGTCACAGCTCCTGGCCCCGCCTCTTCGCTGATTGCTACTAGGTCCTCTCTCCCCCTGCCCCATGAGCTCTATCATACCTCGCCTTAAAACTATGTACGGTTCCTGCCTCCACTACATCCCTTTCTAGGCTATTCCATGGCCTGACTACTCTATGACTGAAGAAATACTTCCTAACATCCCTTTGATTCATCTGAGTCTTCAACTTCCAATTGTGACCTCTTGTGTCTGTGTCCCATCTCTGGAACATCCCGTCTTTGTCCACCTTGTCTATTCCGCGCAGTATTTTATATGTCGTTATCATGTCTCCCCTGACCCTCCTGTCCTCCAGTGTCGTCAGGCCGATTTCCCTCAACCTTTCTTCGTAGGACAATCCCCGTAGCTCTGGGACTAGTCTTGTTGCAAACCTTTGCGCTTTCTCTAATTTCTTGACGTGCTTGACTAGGTGTGGATTCCAAACTGGTGCTGCATACTCCAGTATGGGCCTGACGTAGATGGTATACAGAGTCTTAAACGAATCCTTACTGAGGTATCGGAACGCTATCCGTAGGTTTGCCAGGCGCCCGTATGCTGCAGCAGTTATCTGATTGATGTGTGCCTCAGGAGATATGCTCGGTGTTATACTCACCCCCAGATCTTTTTCCTTGAGTGAGGTTTGCAGTCTTTGGCCACCTAAACTACATTGTGTCTGCGGTCTTCTTTGCCCTTCCCCAATCTTCATGACTTTGCATTTGGCAGGGTTAACAAGGAGCCAGTTGCTGGACCAGGTTTGTAGCCTGTCCAGGTCTCTTTGTAGTCCTGCCTGATCCTCGTCCGATTTGATTCTTCTCATTAACTTCGCATCATCTGCAAACAAGGACACTTCTGAGTCTATCCCTTCCGTTATGCCGTTCACATATACCAAGAACAGAACAGGTCCTAGGACTGACCCCTGTGGAACCCCGCTTGTCACAGGCGCCCACTTTGACACCTCGTCGCGTACCATGACTCGTTGTTGCCTCCCTGTCAGATATTCTCTGATCCATTGCAGTGCCTTTCCTGTTATGTGTGCCTGGTCCTCTAGCTTTTGCAGTAACCTCTTGTGAGGAACTGTGTCGAAGGCCTTCTTGCAGTCCAAAAATATGCAGTCGATCCACCCCTCTCTCTCTTGTCTTACTTCTGTCACCTTGTCATAAAACTCTAGTAGGTTTGTGACACAGGATTTTCCTTCCTGAAACCGTGCTGGTTGTCAATTATACCCTTGTTTCTTTCCAGGTGCCCCACCACTCTCTCCTGATGATCTTCTCCATGACCTTGCATACTATACATGTTAGTGATACAGGTCTGTAGTTTAGTGCCTCATGTCTGTCTCCCTTTTTAAAAATTGGGACTACATTTGCCATTTTCCATACCTCAGGGAGTTGCCCAGTTTCAAATGATGTGTTGAAGATCTTTGTTAATGGCTCACACAATATCTCTGCTCCCTCTTTAAGGACCCATGGAGAGATGTTGTCTGGTCCCACCGCCTTTGAGGTGTCAAGTTCGCATAGCAGCTTCTTCACCTCCTCCTTGGTTATATGTACCTCATCCAGCACTTGCTGGTGTGCCCCCCAGTTCTGATTTCTTTGAGTCCTACTGGTTTCCACTGTAAATACCTCTTTAAATCTTGTGTTGAGCTCCTGACAAACCTCTCGGTCGTTTCTTGTGAATTCCCCATCACCCTTCCTCAGTCTGATTACCTCGTCCTTGACTGTTGTTTTCCTCCTGATGTGGCTGTACAACAGCTTCGGGTCAGTCTTTACTTTTGATGCTATGTCATTTTCATATTGTCTCTGAGTCTCCCTTCTTATCTGTGCATATTCGTTTCTGGCTCTTCGGCTGATTTCTTTATTTTCCTGAGTTCTCTGTCTTCTGTACCTTTTCCATTCTCTAGTACACCTAGTTTTTGCCTCCCTACACCTTTGGGTGAACCAAGGACTCGTTCTGTTCTTCCCATTATTTCTGTTTCCCTTGGGAACAAACCTCTCCTCTGCCTCCTTGCATTTTGTTGCTACATAGTCCATCATTTCTTGTACTGGTTTTCCTGTCAGTTCCCTCTCCCACTGAATGTCTTGAAGGAAGTTCCTCATGCCTGAGTAGTTCCCCCTTTTGTAGTTTGGTTTTTCCCAGCCTATTCCTGCTACTCTCTCCACTTGGAGCTCAACTATGTAGTCGAAGCACAGAACCACATGATCACTAGCTCCCAGGGGCCTTTCATACATGATACCCTCGATGTCCGAACTACTCATGGTGAATACAAGGTCCAGCCTTGCTGGTTCATCCTCTCCTCTCTCTCTGGTAGTGTATCTAACATGTTGATGCATGAGGTTTTCCAGTACCACATCCATCATCTTGGCTCTCCATGTTTCGGGACCCCCATGGGGCTCCAGGTTTTCCCAGTCAATCTCCTTGTGGTTGAAATCACCCATAACTAGTAACTTTGCTCCCCCCATGTGTGCTCTCCTGGCCACCTCGGCTAGTGTGTCGATCATTGCTCTGTTGCTCTCATCGTATTCTTCTCTTGGCCTCCTGCAGTTCTGTGGTGGGTTGTACATTACTGCAATTATCACCTTATGTCCCTCAGACTGGATTGTTCCTACTAAGTAGTCCCTTTCGCCCGTGCCATCCATTCCTTCCATTTTCTCAAAACCCCACTGGTGTGTGTGTGTGTGTGTGTGTACTCACCTAATTGTACTCGCCTAATTGTGGTTGCGGGAGTCAAGACTCAGCTCCTGGCCCCGCCTCTTTACTGGTCGCTACTAGGCCACTCTTCCTGCTCAATGGGCTTTTGTCATATCTCTTCTTAAAGCCATGTATGGATCCTGCCTCCACTACATCACTTCCCAGACTATTCCACTTCCTGACACCTGTGTGACTGAAGAAATACTTCCTAATATCCCTGTGATTCATCTGAGTCTTCAACTTCCAACTGTGACCCCTTGTTGCTATGTCCCATCTCGAACATCCTGTCCACCTTGTCGATTCCTCACAGTATTTTATATGTCGTTATCATATCCCTATCTCTCCTGTCCTCCAGTGTCTTCAAGTCGATTTCCTTTAACCTCTCCTCGTAAGACATTCCCCTTTGCTCTGGGACTAGTCTTGTTGCAAACCTTTGCACTTTCTCTAGTTTCTTTACGTGCTTGGCTAGGTGTGGGTTCCAAACTGGTGCTGCATACTCCAATATGGGCCTAATGTGCACAGTGTACAGTGTCCTAAATGATTCTTTATTAAAATGTCGGAATGCTGTTCTTAAGTTTGATAGGCGCCCATATGCTGCAGCAGTTATTTGGTTGATTTGTGCCTCAGAAGATGTGCCCAGTGTTATGCTCACCCCTTTTCCTTGAGTGAGGTTTGTAGTCTCTGGCCCCCTAGACTGTACTCTGTCTGCAGTCTTCTTTGCCTTTCCCTAGTCTTCATGACTTTGCACTTGATGGGGTTGAACTCCAGGAGCCAGTTTCTGGACCAGTCCTGCAGCCTGTCCAGATCCCTTTGTAGTTTTGCCTGGTCCTCAACCGATTGAATTCTTCTCATCCACTTCACTTAATCTGCAAACAGGGACACCTCTGAATGTATTCCTTCCGTCATCTAGTTCACAAATACCAGGAACAGTACCGGTCCTAGGTCTGACCCCTGTGGGACCCCGCTCGTCACAGGTGCCCACTCTGACACCTCGCCACGTACCATGACTCGCTGTTGTCTTCCTGACAAGTATTCCCTGATCCATTGCAGCGCCTTCCCTGTTATCCCTGCCTTGTCCTCCAGCTTTTACACTACTCTCTTGTGTGGGACTGTATCAAAAGACTTCTTACAGTCCAAGAAAATGCAATCTACCCACCCCTCTCTCTCTTATTTTACTGCTGTCACCCTGTCATGGAGCTTCAGAAGGTTTTTGACACAGGATTTCCCATCCCTGAAACCGTGCTGGCTGTCGTTGATGAACTCAATCCTTTCTAGGTGCTCCACCACTCCTGTGTACTCACCTTGTTGTGGTTATGGGGGTCGAGTCACAGTTCGTGTGTGTGTGTGTGTTTTACTAACTTTTTAATGAACAAAATATCAAAAGTATTATTCTTTTGTTTTAATTTCCTGTAGTTCTGGTTCAAAATTGCACATTTATTCTGGCCTGAGAATTTTTCCATAGCTGAATGAACAGCTTTAAGTCCAGCGATTAGCGGCAGGAGGATCGAGTCTCTACCACCATTCTTTGCCCTCAGTAATCCGTATATACGGATCAATGGTTAACTGAGAGCAAACACTCAGTCCTTTATGACTGGCTGAGAGAGAAGTGACTGATTGCTGACCGACTGAAAATCAGCAGACTGAATGTAAAAATTGTTTTCAGTCCTTCATTGACTGACTGTAGTAGATTTTGTTTATCCAGTGCTGATTGGTTGATAGAGAAGACACACCTGCCTTTTAATAATTGCTGATTGGTTGACAGAAAATATTTTCAGATGTTTTCTCCTTCTCTGACTGGCTGAGAGAACGTCAGAATGTTTCCTGCATCACTGATTGGTTGAGAGAAATTAAGTAATTATCTCTGATTCATCTCTGATTGGACGAGACAACAAGATGCAAGTTTTTAAATCACCAATGATTAGCTAAAAGAAATTTACGAGTTGCGATGATTTACCACTGACTGCATAAAAAACTCAAAATGTAAAAAAAAAAAAAAAAAAAAAAAAAAAAAAAAAAAAAAAAAAAAAAAAAAAAAAAAAAAATCCATAGCCAGAGATGAACACAAGTTCTGAACTATAATTACTGTAACTTGCTCCCCTTTATCACACCTCTTAACCAACAACCGAAAATTATATATAAACAATAAGAGTAATACAATTTTCATCAAATGTCGAGTTCTTTGAAGTGGTGTATAAGTTTTTTTTAAAGTTTGTTTGTTATTCTTCAGCCTAATGTCAAGAGAAAGTGTGGGTGTGTCCAGCGGTAGAGTCGACAAAGCTCTCTGGTTGTACTGGTGCATTAATGATCTTCTCAGCAGTGGGATCAAGTGTATGTTTGAAGATGATGGCCTGAGCATCATCCTTTGTTTCTTTTGAATGGTTGGAAAACTGGCCAGTAGCGTGTCAGGATTCTATTCCATGGTGTGTATCTAAGTGTTTGTCGCTGCCATTGCCACTCACAAGACCTGAAAAGTGAAAAAAAAATGTATAATATTTAAATCTAACCAAAATAACTCGGTTTGTTACAAAGTACCTTTTTCTTTGATCTCTCAGTGAACGATATAGCTCTGGTTTAATGGCATATCCACCCATGGTAACTTATAATAGTAACAAGTATACCTGGAGAGGGTTTTGGGGGTCAACGCCCCCACGGCCCAGTCTGTGACCAAGACCATAAGTACTAAAGGTTCTAAGTTATTTAATAAATTTGTAGTAATCTTTTGATAGAAGGTAACTATGCCATAATGAAATCATTATAAAACTCTAAAGGAGCCATTGAATGGACTATCATGTGGTCAAGATCCAGGTTAGATAAGTTTTCTCCCAGATGAATAAACTAACAAAGCTTCTACACCCTGGTTATTACCTCTTACATCTCTGTCATTTCTCGGCTCTTTCTCATAGTTGATCTCTGGTTCTTGGTGTAAAGCAGACAAGCCCGAGACACCCTTCTTTTGGTGGTGGTGGTGATGCTGTGGTGGCGAGGAAGACGTATCCAGTACACCTCTGTGTTGTTGAAGATGGTGGTGCAGTGGTGGCGATGGGGATATATCTGATACACCTCTCTGTTGGTGATTATGGTGGTGGTGGACCTTCTCCATCAAGCTGCCACAAGGAAGGGACGAGCTCTCCACCCGTAGAACATCTACATCTGAGGTAGAAATGGGACAATTATTTCTCTGACTTGGAGATTAAAAATGTCATTTATTTAAAGATTAGAAGTACACAGAATAATTTATTTTATGGATGAAATGTTATTTCATGTGCATGTATGACTGTATCTCATACATATAGTGACAAACTCAAGAATGTTTAAATCTGTAAGATTCTTTCTGTGGGAGGATAAAAGTTAAGAGGAGACTGAGGAAGAGGAGAGGGAATAACAAGTGAAATAATGATGGAAGGAGAGAAAGGGAGAGAGGAGTCTTTCAGTACCTGCTATGTTAGGGTTTTTGGTCCAGGGAGGTTGACCCTTGTCTCCAGGTGGGTTCATCAGCTGCAGTTCCAGCAGGTTGGGTGTGTGGCTGCAGGGGGATGCTACCTGCTTCTTGCAGGTGACGCTGGTGGTGCTTCCCTTGGCATCATCGTTGGCATCGCCAGTGTTCTTCCGCAGTGCCGAGCGACGATGGTGGTGTTGGTGGAGCAGGAAGGCGCATATTAACACTGTAACTGACACCAAATTTTTGTAATCTTCAGTATTCAACTTTCTCTTAACTTACATTTTTCCTCTTCTTCCTACATTTTTTTAAATCTTCAGACATTTGTTCATGGCCAACAGCACATTTGCTATATTCTTGTAAGACTCTGATTAATTTGTTAGAGCTAACAAGAAATACTTATTATTAATTGTTTAAATTTCAATAGTTTCTGTTTTGGTTACTATCCCTCTGGTGGCTTCATAAACCCCTTTAATGTTCAGGATCACCAGAGTGCAATGGTAGAGTGTGGCCCATCAGTTATTACATTGACTGGGATGAGCTACTTCCATAATGGCTATATATACAGCACTTAGAGAATAGTAGAGAAAATAATCATTAACTGTGTTTAGTCTTAGGTAGTTTGTAAGTATTAGTATTAGTCTGCCCAAAATGTACAACATCCTGGTGGCTTTTTGTGTTTAACACTAGTTTATTACATGTAAAGTATATTTTTTTATACTTCACAAGTAAATAAAATGCTGTTTTTTTACAATTCCTCGGATCAAGAGCCCTTAACCAAATGGAACCCCATTTAAAAGGATATTTTATTTTACTTATAAAAGGGTTGGTAAAAGAGGGATGAGGAATGATTGGTGGAATGATGAGGTGAAAACAGCATTGAGAAGTTTACATCATTCTATTTACATCATAAACGTGATACAGGGTGAACTATATGGAGATGATGATGTTAAATAAAACACCATACTCACAAAAGAGAAATGTGCAGAAGACAACCAATGTAACGAGAATTCCTAGAGGTAGTTTAAGTGTAGTGTCAGTAGCATCTGGTAGATGACAGTGCTGTCCACTGAAACCCGCTGAACATACGCAGGCATACCCTACCATAGAAAATAATAGAAGATTACCATTTCTGTAAATATAAGGGGAATCAGTGTCTAGCTATCGAAAGTTTAGCCTTATTCCTAATCAATTTCTTAAACCATGCTAGTCCCAAGCCAATCATAATGCAAAGCCAATTGCAGTCCTTGACTAATCTTTACTCAGTCTAATCCGAATTTCAGGATAATCTTTACTCCAGGCCGATGACATCCCCGAGACGATCCTAATCCCAGGCTAATAATATTCCAGATTAAATTCAACGCCAAGCAATTCTAATCTTGTTGTTATAAATTAAATCTAAGCCATAACATATACCACTTCTAAGGAATTTTTAACAAACTCAGTCCTTATTGCAATCTTATCATATCCAGAACAATCCTAACTTTACTCAAACATAATATAGACTGTCGCTAAAATTTCACTTATCTGAAAAATTGTGTCAAATCGTGATAACAATTGGAAATACAAATGAAGATTTTACTATAATTATGTTACAAATTTTGGAATTTCTAGGATTGCTTAGAATTATTCATTCTGCACATGCTAGAATTGTTTGAAATCTTGTTTAAATGTGTATTATAAACAAATTTTCTCGTACTGAAGGCTTACCTGGGCGTGTATTGAGGCAGGTACCTCCATTGAGACAAGGTTGCCACATACAGTAGTCTAGCTCTCTGCATGTGGTTCCACCTTCTAAAACACGTCCCTCACCACATCTGCACCCACCAAAAAAATCCATACGTTAGTTCGTCAGGTTTGGAGCCTGTCGACTGCAAGAGGGTCATTAAGGCTGTGATCACCTGTGCATTAAAATCAAGAATACTTTAATCACTAAAACTGGAATTAAACTCTCGGTAAAGAATAAAAAGGCACCATACCATGACTGGAATAATATACAATTAAACTGCACAGAGGAGAGAGGAGCTTGTAACGACGTTTTGGTCAGCCTTGGACCATTTGCAAAGTCACATTTGTGTATTAAACCCTCAGTGCATAAAAAGTTACACATCTCTCTAAGTATATGCAACATTTGCTTTACTTAACATAAGAACATAAGACAGGAAGAACACTGCAACAGGTCTACTGACCCATGCGGAGCAGGTCCATGTCCCCCCCCGGATTAGCCCAATGACCCACCTAGTCAGGTCACTTCCACTCAAGGAAGGAGCACGGCACCAGACCCAGCAGCACAAGCTAGTCAGGTACAACTCACACCCACCCACACCCACTCATGTACTTATCTAACCTATTTTTAAAACTACACAACGTTTTAGCCTGAATAACTGTACTCGGGAGTTTGTTCCACTCATCCACAACTCTATTACCAAACCAGTGCTTTCCTATATCCTTCCTGAATCTGAATTTTTCCAACTTAAAACCATTGTTGCGAGTCCTGTCTTGGCTGGAAATTTTCAGCACGCTATTTACATCCCCTTTATTTATTCCTGTTTTCCATTTATGTATAAATGGAAAACAAGTCTTGAATTATACTGTCAGTTGATTATTAACACACATTATTCTTTCAGCAACGCAGTAACCTGTGGATCATTCAGTGCCATGAGTAGTGGAGTCTCGAGCCTCTGTCTGAGGAGTGCCAGGTAGTCAAACTACCCAGCTGTTTTGACCTATTCGTGGTGTATGGGATTTGACTTACTACGAGAGTGTGGGCAAGGATGGGCTTGAACTCATGGCAGTCCTAAAATTATCAGGCCACTCATATACCCATTGACCCATGCTGGCCTCGTGAGATTAATCCAATCAGATGTATTTATATATACCACAGGAAGGCTAATAGAGACCACCACTGTGACCGTAACTGAAGCTTTTTAACTGGCGAATTCTACACAGACATGGGTGTGGTGTAGCTCAAGTATTCTCAGATCTGTTATCAGGAATCAGGATATCGTAATAACATACCTGGAGTATGTGATGAATGGTTTGAAAAACCGACAAGTTGAAGATTGAGACACTTATGCAGCATATGGGAATCTTTATTCAGGAAACGTTTCGCCACACAGTGGCTTCATCAGTCCAATACAAAGAGGAAGGCGTAAGGAGAGGAGGAGAATGAGGTAATCAGTCCCTCAACCTGGAGTCGAAGTGTTCAGTCCATCATTCTACAAGATTGATGGACTGAACACTTCGACTCCAGGTTGAGGGACTGATTACCTCATTCTCCTCCTCTCCTTACGCCTTCCTCTTTGTATTGGACTGATGAAGCCACTGTGTGGCGAAACGTTTCCTGAATAAAGATTCCCATATGCTGCATAAGTGTCTCAATCTTCATACCTGGAGTATGCCTGGAGAGAGTTTCGGGAGTCGATGCCCCTGTGCCCTGGTCTGTGACCTGAACAGGTGATTTGCTTGCAAACATATTACGATTTCGTGAGTCGAGGTAACAATTATTTATCTGTGAGGGAATTTAGGGATGTTCTGCAGGAGTATGAACAGAGTAATATCTATGAAGTGATTCAGGAAATGAACTGAGGAAGGCTAACAGCTTTTAAGCTGTAAATTAGACAGTGTAAACAGTACAGACCCACAGTGGTAGGACCTCCAGGTGTCCACACAGGAAAGGGGTGCCCTACAGGAGATATTAGCACAGGCAGAGGGACCAACACATCCTCGCTCCACGCCCTTGAAGACGCTAGCTTGACCCCAGGCTGTGCTGTTGACTGCAGGCGGTAACGGCACCCTCCTCCCGGAGATCCGCAGGTCGTCAATGCATCCTGAAGAAGAGGTTGTAGCTTTTATGTACCTGATTTTACACAGGTGACAAACTTCACTTAAAATTACTTTCAAGGGAATAATATCTCCTATTATTATTATTATTATTATTATTATTATTATTATTATTATTATTATTATTATTATTATTTTTTTATTGCTATTATTATTGCAAGGAAATGCTAAACACACACGAGTCATTCAGTGTAGCATTAATTCGGGAGAGTAGCGTTAATTCATTATGTCCAAATATTACCTCACAGTTCAGTATCTTACCGTCAAAGAAATCTCCGTGGATCCTGAAGACACTGACATCGAGAAACTCTGGTGTACCTCCAATGTGAACACCTTCCTGCTTGTCCACCTGCAGTAGCTGTTGTTGCTGCTGCTGCCCTTCCAGCACCATGGAAGCATTGTATAGCTCATTATCACCGTCATCCACAGTTAGGAGACTCACAGTACCATACCTGGGAAAGGATGAGAGTGATCAGTATCATAGTGGTTCATGTAGTGTGATAATGTCCTGTGATATGTTGACTCCTACAGTATGAGAGGGCTCTCTCTGTGTGTATCAGTCCCTGTGTCTTTCTGCCTCTCTCTCTATCTGTCTATCTCTGTCCCTCTCACACACTGGATGAACAGGAAGGCAATCAAGAATACATAAACATCTTGGCACAGGTGTTTTGTTCATGAAAAGGAACAGAGTTAAATAATTATTTGTGTTGCTGTTGGAAGATTACTATACAAATTTGCAGTTGACATTGCAGATAATGTTGCCTGCAGACTTTACCTAAATAAGAAAGCCTGTCGCCTCTCTACTGTAATCAATACAGCCTAGTAGTATACAGGATTCACACATATGGAGCCTCTGGTTTGAGTCCTGTCAAATTTAACATGAATTTAGTAATGCATATAAAGTACAAAAAGGCACAGTACTGTGACTGGAACAATGCTACAATAACCCTTGTAGTAGTAATGTATATGATCAGAATGGCTTTTGTCTTAGAAAATACTACATGTGGATTATTTATGTATGCTCTTTCTCAGTCAATGTTGTGTTTTTTTGTGTTGGATATGCTGAAATATATCAGATCTGCTCAAATTCTGCTATAGTTCATCATATCTAAGGTAACAGTCACAATATTGACTGGGTGGAAACAACGAGTGGAAACAGTGGTGTTAAGAACAAATGCCTTACCTGACAGCTGCGAGGTAGTGCCATCGACCATCTGAGAGGCTGGCCCTGGAGAGGCAGAGAGAAGAGAGAGATGGCTGTGTATGAACCATCTGCAGTAACACACACAGATGTCCCTCAACCAGCTGCAGCGACCAGCTCTCTCTCCCATGTTGTGAAGATAGCATGACCAGCTGCCCACTCCTCCTCCATGTCCTGAACCTGCAACAGCGTACACCTGTACATAATTAGTTGCAGGGAGAGTGTTACAGGTAAGACAGAGTTACAGGAGGGAAAGTCAGCTACTTAACAACATGGTTACGGTGGCAAGTTAACCAAACTCCACAGACTTTACACAATAATCAAACTTTATTTGAACCCGCACTTTATGCATCTGAGGCAGGTGTGCCGTCTTGGAGTGTTATATATATATAATATATATATATATATATATATATATATATATATATATATATATATATATATATATATATATATATATATATATATATATATCAAGAAAGGCTGACTCTGAAACATAATTTTGTTAATATTAATAAGGGCCAGCCTGACTTTTGTTAAGATTTATGAGCTCCTTCACAGCTAGAAAACTATATAATCTCTCCATTAACATTTTTTGGTTCTACTACCTGCTCTTGTTAAGACTGATCATCCTACTGGAGTGATAATTATCACAATTACGGGTTAAATTACTACCGTAGTTACAGTTTAAATCACCGAACTTGAGCAAAAAATATTGTAGTTAGGGTTCAAATCATTCTATTTGAGCAATAACCATAAAAAAAAAATTACCTAAACAGAAGGTACCACAGTTTACTTGCCTGAGAGAGATGGATGTCGTGTAGCCCAGAGGGGTGAAGGAGAGTGCCAGCTTTATGTAACTGTTGAGAAGGAAGGTTGTTGGTGTGGTCGGGGTGCCACACCCTGGCCCTGACCACCCTGCCTGGCACCCGCACCTCAATGACCCTGGAGATCCCTGGCATCTGTGGGCGACATATCTCAGTGAGTCGATTACTGGGGTGCTGCCTCCTGTCTTGTAAACACTGTCTACTTGTCTATCGTTTTGTGAATTAGATCGCTAAACATAATGATGGCACAGAGGATTGGAAAGCTGAAAGCTACTGTCCATTGTTTCTGATCCCTTGATTTCTAGCTCTTTAACCTTTGATACCTTGATTTCTGACCCTTTAATGTCTGATCTCTTGATTTCTGACCCTTTGACCTTTGGTCTCTTGATTTCTTATCCTCTGACCTCGGGTCTCTTTATTTCTGACTCCTTGATCTGTGGTCTTGATATTTTGACCTCTTGCCTTCTGATTCCTGACCTGTGATGCTCTGGCCTCTGTCTCCTTGACACTAATACACAGGTGATCTTGGCCATTCACCTGCCATGGAGGAGACAGTGGGGTCACATAGTTACTCACCTGCCATGGAGGTCATTTACCTGCCGTGAAAGCCACCCAAGGCCACTTACCTGCCGTGGAGGCCACAGTGGAGGCCGCTGGAGCGACAATTTGAGGCAGGACACCCGGGAAAACTCCTCCTACTCAACACACCGACACCCAGGTCCACTAGCTGAGAAAAAGTGATATTAATACCTAAAAAAAAAAGATATAAAAATGAAAATTTATTAACAACCTAATTTTTGTGAATTAATCGGTTAATAAAAGTGAAAAAAATGACTTAGAAGTGTAAATTAATTATTTTTTAATGAATCAGTTAATAAAATAAAAAAATATCAATAACTAGAAATATATATACAGTGAAACCTCGTTTCTCGGCTGTAGCCCGTTCCAGACGGTCGACCTAAATTCGAAACGGCCTAAATTCGAAGCAATATTTCCCATAAGAATTAATGTAAATACAATTGTTAATCTGCTCCAGACACCCAAAAATATTAACAAAAAATACATTTTTTAAAGGCTAACTATAGTTTTATGTACACAAAACAATGAGAACTAAATAAAATAAATAAATGAACATTTAAATCCCTATTACATGCCTTTATTGAAGACTCTTGTTGGCTTATGGAAGACAGGGGAGGAGGAGAGAGGGAAGACTGATTATATTTTGGAAGGGGAATCCCCATCCACAAAGACTTCAAGTATTAAAGCCCTCTCTGGGACTTTGATAAGCATGTCTTTCATAGGATTGTGTCATGGCAGTGCCATTTCCTCCTGCATGATATAGGTCCTCTTTGGAAATTTTTTCTGAGAAAATCGAGTTTATTTCAGCGTTTTTCGTACTGCAATAGTGATCTAGTGTAGTTAGCCTCTCCAAAACTCCGTTTTCTGTTATACCTCAGAAGGGAAAGGATGGGAAGCTATGGTCAGAGGGATAATTACCTTACCTCGGGAGTAACGGCGACCGCTCGCCATATAATGACATATTTTATTCATTCTAGAGTATATACCATGTTTCTGTGTTGTTTATATTGTTTATTATGTCATATTAGATCAATTGTGATAGATAAATAAGCTGTAGTGTAATACTGAATAATATTCTGTCGCCTGAATAATAATGAATAATAATATTGAATAATATTCTGTCGAGATCCGCATGCAACTGCCTTGCCTTTTCACATATGATCTTCTCTGAAAAAATGATCGACACCATGCCTAACCCTTCTAGGGTAGGGTAGGTGCCTGAGCCCGAGCCTTTAGCTCATAAGACTGCCATTCCCATTAGCCCCCTTGGGGCGGGGATGGCAGACCAGAGAGGCCTAGCTTGTGGCTAGGCCTGGGGACAGTTGGTCCCAAAGATGAGGAGGTACTTGTGCCTCCTCCCATGGGAGACTTAGGCCTCAGACATTCCCTAAAGAGGGAGCCAAGGCCGGGCCACCACTTGGAAAAGGCCCGGGCCGGGAAAATACCGGCTAATCTTTAATAATAACTTTAATAATCTGAAACAATATCTTCCGCTAATTGTTTTTCCCTCATCTACAGCAACAACAACTTCTCAACATCATTTGTTTGTGATCTCTTTTTCGTTTACATGTTTACCCCTTTCGCCACATCAGCTCCCTTTCTTTGCCAGGATAGAAGTGATTGTTGATTTGTTTTTGCCATACATCCTGGCAAGTTCCAGTACCCACACACCACTCTCATATTTTTCTATTACTTCCTTCTTAAATTCCATCATGTTTCTCACTTTCTTTACCAAAGGAACTTTCTTGGGGCCCATGGTAACTTATTTCACAGTCGTGCTTAATAAAAAACCATCATAAACAATAGATTTTAAGGAAATGTTTGGACAAATGTGCGAAGCATATGCTCACTCACTGACAAAGGGAGACTGACTCACCTACGTGCAGCATCCTGGCTGGAGGTGGGCTGACACATTTGATACGGCCGATATACGAGGCAACGGCCGAAATATGAAGCAAATTTTCCACTGAAAAACTGGCCTAAATGCGAATCGGTTGATAAATGCAGTGGCCGAAAATGAGGTTCCACTGTATATATATATATATATATATATATATATATATATATATATATATATATATATATATATATATATATATATATATATATATATATATATATATGCAATAAGATCACAGTAAACAGGTGATTTTAAAATATGCAAAACGACCAATGTGAAATAGTGAAATTCCAAGCGCTTTCGTGACTACTTACATAGTTCCTTGACAATGTGAGTAGTCACGAAAGCACTTGGAATTTCACTACTCTTTCACAGTGGTTGTTTTGCATATAGTATATATATATATATATATATATATATATATATATATATATATATATATATATATACTGGGGTGTATGCCTCTCAGCATATATATATGGCAGGTGTATGTCTCTCAGAGTATACAGGGGGACCCTGCTTATACAGCAGGTTAAGGTCTGGGCTTCTGATGAAAAGCACAAATCACTGTAAAGTGAAACAGCTTTTTCATGTTTGCACTATCACATATTATGTGAGCAATAAAGCTAAGGCTAAAAAAAATGCATGTACAGTACACACATTACTTGCCTTAAAATATTTTTGCCCTTAGCCTTTTAAGAATGGTGAATATATTTATTGTAAGAAGTCTGAATGAATGAAGAATGGGTATAATTGAAGACCGCTGCATTAGTGAAACACTGCAAAGTGAAGTGCTGTAAACCGGGGCCCTCCAGTATATACTGTGAGTTTACTTTTATCCCTATTTTAGGTATTAAAGCATTTTTATCTGATGATAAGCTCATTGTCCAGTCTTAATGATCATGATGTAGTCGCTAGGCTTTAAACTCCATTAGCCAACTATATAGATAATGTATTAGGTAAGAAGTCCCAATCCTTGCATCATTATTATTATTATTATTATTATTATTATTATTATTATTATTATTATTATTATTATTATTGTTATATGATAAGGAAGCACTAAATTAGTAGGGGTCATACAGAGACTGATGAATGCTAAGAAATTATTTTAATCCGAGGAATTGGAGAATAGCTAAAATTCCTTTGATCAAGAGCCCTTCCACCCTCACCTGGCCATTGACTCTGAGATTCCTTATACACCCCTGGAGGTGTGAAGTGTTTAGATGCACCTGCCCGCCCACCTGAAGCGGGCCGCCCGTGTTGAGGATGCGGGCAGTCCCAGGTAGGGTGGAGGAGGCCCGGCAGGTGGGCGGAGTGGAGTGATCGTGGGCGGTTGTGAGGGGTGTCTCGATGCTGCCGCCCGAGCACAGGTCCACGATTAATTCCACCTGCTGGAGAATTGGAGGAGAAGCAAAAGAAAACAGAGGACACAGACAAGTTGGTTTAAGTCCTTCACCAAAATCAGAATCCTTTACAAACCCTTTCTAACTGTATCAGAACTAGATCCATTTTATAAGCTATTTGATAGTTTATCTCATTAATTAATTTTTGCATACTTTTGTTTTGCATAGAGAAGAATATAAAAGGCAGAGTTCTTGGGCAACAGAGCCTTTGAATATTCACTTTATAAAAAAAGGAAAAATGCTATTAATAAATGAACTACAAATTAGAAACAAAGATGAACTATATTCTGGTTCGTCTAGGACTGTCTAAGACGGATTTAAACACAGTTCAAGAGTCTAGGACGGATATGAGCACCATTCAAGAGCCAAGGTATCTTAAACTTTTCATTTAAAACTTCTGGGATACTTGTGAACTGTTCCAGTCATGGTAGTGCGAGTTTTATTGTTTTTTACGAGATCAGATACTTTGAAGGCTCTCACCTTATCCTTCCATAAGATGTCGATCCTGTGCCAGGCGTTATCGGCAAGGGAGTATGAGGCGCTGAGGGTAAGGGTGACGAGGCCGTCACCAAGATCTAACACTAGGGAGGGGCGTCCCTGTCGCAGCTCCAGCAGTAGAAGATCCCTGATGGAGACCGTCCCTGACCCTGGGTTCCCCTGCTGTACCTGGTCTGCTCCAGAGTAGAGCAGAGTGGCTGACTTGTCCTTAGTCAGGATCTCAAGGCTCACATGGACCTCTGTACAGGGTGGAATAGGGGAAACCCACGCCCATCCACCTACTTGGGGCATACCGTTCTCGAAGCTCTCAGTGTTTTGGGTAGGTCCACCGCCTTCGAAATGGCGTATGAGGATTTTACAACGCAAGCCCCAGGTACCATGAGGACACACACACCTGTGCAGATAACAATGAAATAAGCTACACAGGATAATACAGTGAAATCAGTGCGTCATCGAGGACTGTCTAGTTTTCACTGGGGTCCTTTAATCTCCCTCACGATGCGACCCATAACACCCTACTAACACCCAAGCACCTACTTACTGCTAGGTGAACAGGAGCAGTAGGTGTAAGGAAACATGCCCAGCTTTTCCACCCGTGACATAGATCGAACCACAGAGATTCAGTATACGAGCTGAGTGCGCTATCAATCAAGCCACAGGGTACTTCAACTAACCTACAAATTAACTGTGGAAATTAAACGAGGTTCCAGCCTGTCTTAAACCGTTTTAAGTCGTTTGTTGATAATGGCCCAGGATGGACCGAAACATCTCCCAATTTCATCTCTAACCGGTGGGTTAGTTATGGGTAAAGATTTCAAAATATCTATCATGGCTGAAGATTTGTGATTCGGAATTACAAACCGTATCATTCAGTTATCGTGCGGATCTATTTCACCTACCTTGTGCCTGTGGAGGTTGGAACACACCTTCCGCCGTTGAGGCAGGTGTGTGGTGTACAGAAGTGACCGACAGCAGGTGTGGCGTCACCACAGCCACACCCACCACGGAGGGTGACTCTGGGACCCACTACAGCTGAAGTGTTGGCATCGACGATGTTAAACCCACCGTTCAGGCTCACCCAACACCCACCCACGCACCTTCCGGCCTCGTTGGGGATGGCAGCGTCATGGGTGGCCTCGTCATGGGCGGCCTCGTCGCAGTTGCTCACGCCCACCTCTCTTATGGTGACACCTATTGCTTTGCTCAACTGAGCAAGAAGAGTAAGTGGTTAAGTCTAAATACCTGTTAGTCATAAATGTACTGTGTTCAGCTGACGATAATTACAACTCTTTTATCTAGAAATTACATTTCTAGATGTTTCGCTCCTTCCTGGACATATTATCAAGTCTCTTGATATATAAGAACATAAGAAGGAACACTGCAGCAGGCCTACTGACCTATGCGGGGCAGGTCCAATTCTCCTGCCGTCTTAAACCAACACCCTAACCTAGTCAGGTCAGGTCACATTCACTTAAGGAAGGAGTACACGGCATCTGACCTAATAGCACAAGCTAGTCAGGTCCAACTCACACCCACCCACACCCACTCATGTATTTATCTGGCCTATTTTTAAAACTACACTAAATGTTTATCATGAAAAACATAACGAAGAGAAGAGCAAAATTATCGTAAATTATAGATCGTAATAGACTTTTTAAATGGATGTGCTGTACACATCCCATCAAGGAGGGTCTCTGTGGAATACGATTTAACAGCATTACATCATGCTGTCAGAGGTAATGAATCCTGTTACTCATGAAATCGTAATGACACGATTGCAAACAAACCATACCCCGGGTGGGGTTAGAACCGGCGATCAGTCATAAAACCCCCAGACCGACGCATCGGTCTGAGGGGTTTATGACTCTCTGATCGCGGGTTTTAACCCCGTGGTATGGTTTAATGCTGTCACATATATTGTCAGCATTGCATCATGCTGTCAACTATAATAAATCTTTTAAGAGTTATATTCTCATTAATGTGTTAAAGCATAGTTTGTAGGTCAATGTTCACCTACACTCACTTTACACAATCATTATTATTATTTTCAGAAATATTAATTAATTAACGTTCCATGGTTAAAAAAATTATTTATAGATTCTGTACCGAACACTGTATTGTATTAAAATATTTTATTTTTTACTACTGTTTACTTAATAATAATAATAATAATAATAATAATAATAATAATAATAATAATAATAATAATAATAATAATAATAATATTGTCCGAAATGCACTGCTTGTTAGTGGCTTTATTTTGTGCTCAAAAATATGTATACCTGTATACTACAGAAAATAAATTTATTATTATTATTATTATTATTATTATTATTATTATTATTATTATTATTTTTAAGAGGTAGCCACGTCTTACCTGACGTTTGCGATGCAGTAATACGTGACCAAAGTTTGCAATACCGGAAGACGATAACCAGACGCGGGTTGTGGGCGTGGGCGTGGGCGTGGTGTGTTGACCCAGCGGCTGCACCGACACCGCCCGTACACCCACATCCGCCCCCACCTCCGCCCACGACCTCACCGCCCACACCAGACGCGTCAGTATAGAGCCTCCATCCTGTAGAAAAAATTATTGTTATTATTATTATTATTATTATTATTATTATTATTATTATTATTATTATTATTATTATTATTATTATTATTATTATAATTATTATTATTATATCAAGAGCCCCTCGGTATCAAGAGCCTGTAAAGTAATTTTTTTTACTGCTGGGAAATTTGTAAATCTAAGTGACGGTACTTCAAGTCTGATAAGATGAAGCATTGGTAAGTCTAATTGATGCTTAGATAAGCTTAGGAGACGAATAAAACTAAAAAATGTCAGTTTACTAGTTTCACTTGAACTAGTTAGTGTGTGTGTGTGTGTGTGTGTGTGTGTGTGTGTGTGTGTGTGTGTGTGTGTGTGTGTGTGTGTGTGTGTGTGTGTGTGTGTGTGTGTGTGTGTGCGTGCATCACCTGGTCCTGGTTCACTAGACGGTAGCTGTCAGTCAGCAGGGTGATTGGAGTGGCATCAATGACGTCATTCAGGCTGACGGAAATGACGTCAACAGTGACGTTGGCGTCGACGTCAGAAATTCCGTGTGTGACGTCACTCACAGTGAACCCCAATTCGTATCTGAGTTAAATATATATATATATATATATATATATATATATATATATATATATATATATATATATATATATATATATATATATATATATATATATATATATATATATATATACATATATAATATATATAATATATATATATATATATATATATATATATATATATATATATATATATATATATATATATATATATATATATATATTAAACAGTACATATAATACTAACTTTATAAATAAGATATTATAATTTGCAGTTCAATTTGCATCCTCATATATATAACATGAAAAAACTTAAGCCCATATAAATATAACTACGTACATATCTTCAAAGCACTATAATCACATATTCAAAGTAAAGTGAGAAGCTTCGAGCCTCGTGGAGACAAGGCATCGAGCAGCATCCAGTGATCTCCTTCACTTAGTTACTAGACAGTCCAGTTAAAATGCATCACAATTTTTTTTAAAGTCATCAGCACAATGGTCATAAATCCATTAGAAGACAAGAGGATTAAATGAATCATGAGTTATTAATCGAAGTGTTGTTAATGAACAATGGGAATTGAGGCCCCAACTGAGGTCATTTGACAAAAATATCTGTTGATCTGTTAGGAATGTGAATATTATATGTAAATATTATATTAGTTTTCATGGAGGCTTGCTTTTTTAATATTGCTCATGGACGGTGAGTTTGGTGACTAATTGTCCACGAAAGATGACTATCTTTAACTACAATATCAGATCTTTAAGCAAGCATTACGATGACCTCATAGCATTACTAAATTCCTTACATGCCAATATGTCCATCATTACACTAACTGAAACCTGGCTAAAGCCTGATAGTACAGATGTCTATGCCATTCCTGGATACACAGCCATACACAACTGTAGGCCAGACCAACAAGGGGGTGGCACAGCCATATACTACTCAGACCAACTAGAATGTATCACTAATACTTGCACAAGGGATGAACATGGGGAATATATAATAGCTAAATTCAAATCCAAGTACCTACAAAAACCTCTCACATTGATAAACATCTACAGAGTTCCACAGTCAAACATTAGCCAATTTAGTCAAAATCTAGGAAGTATGATAACTGATGCACGCATGAACAAAGATCACTTACTACTCTCAGGTGACTTCAATATAAATCTCCTGCAAGACCAGGACCCACACGTTACTGAATTCACAAACACAATGAGTAACTGTATGTTACTACCAACAGTAACAAAACCTACAAGAGTTACAGAGACTAGTGTTTCTCTACTTGACCACATCTGGACCAACACCATATCCCCTTTAAAATCAGGCATAATTACAGATAATACCACAGACCACTACCCTACTTTCCTCATAACAACTCTTGGTAAACTACCCCAAGACACTACTAAAGTCACCTTCAGACTTCACAATGAGGCAGCCATTAATAACTTCACAACAGCAATAGCAAACATTGATTGGCACACCGAGCTAGAAACCTATACAGATATTGACGAATGTATTAATAATTTTCTAAAAAAAACCCAATACCTCTATAACAAGCACTGCCCTAAAAAAACTAAACAGATGACAGCAAAGAGACTGAACAGTCCCTGGCTAACACCCAGCATTCTCAAATCCATAAATACAAAACACCAATATGAAAAACAGTACAGAATGGGTCACATAACCAGAGACCAAACAAAACGTTACTCGTCAATCCTAACCAGCCTGATAAGAAGGGCAAAAAAATTGTATTATGAGAACAGATTATCCAACTTACGAGGTGATATAAAAAAGACCTGGAAAACCCTATCAGAAATTCTGGGAACAAAAAAGATATCACGAAATAGCGAAATAAAATTAGCAAAATCAGATGAACCCCAACTCCCACCAACAGAAACAGCAAACAGACTCAATGATTTCTTCTCCACTATAGGACAAAACCTTGCCAATAAAATCCCAAGCTCAGATACCCCACCAAATGACTACCTCACCGGCAACTACCCGAACACTCTGTTCCTAGCTCCGACTAACCCATACGAAGTCTCCCTTATTATCAACGCACTAAAAAACAAGGCAGGAGATTTAAATACCTTACCACCCTTTATATACAAAAAAGTGTCACAAGTGCTATCACCAATCATTGCAACACTCTTTAACAAATCCATTGAATCCTCCACCTTCCCTACAGTACTCAAAATAGCAAGGGTCACCCCGATCCACAAAGGAGGAGACCAAACAGAGTTGAATAACTATAGGCCAATATCCAACTTACACCCTCTCTCAAAAATCTTTGAAAAATTAATTCATAAACGAATCTACTCCTACCTTATCTCCCAAAACATACTCAACCCCTGCCAATTTGGATTCAGGCCTAATAAAAATACCAATGATGCTATTATACACATGCTAGAACATATATACACTGCAATAGAGAAAAAAGAAGTCCCACTGGGGATCTTCATTGACTTACGTAAAGCTTTTGATACAGTTGACCATGACTTGCTCCACGTAAAATTGTCACACTATGGTATAAGAGGGCACTCCCTCAACTACCTCAAGTCATACCTCAGCAACAGAAGCCAATATGTGTACGCAAATGGGGCAAACTCTTCTGCGCAACCAATTACAGTTGGTGTCCCACAGGGAAGTGTCCTTGGCCCTCTTCTCTTTCTCCTATACATAAATGACCTTCCAAATGCTTCGCAATTACTCAAACCCACACTATTTGCAGATGACACTACATACGTCTTCTCTCACCTGAGCCCAGTCACGCTAGCCAATACTGTAAATACCGAATTACAGAAAATATCTACCTGGATGAGGACTAACAAACTTACACTGAACATTGACAAAACCTACTTCATTCAGTTTGGTAACAGAGCTACAGATGTCCCTCTCAACATAATGATAAACGGATCACCTATCACAAAACTAACAGAGGGAAAATTCTTAGGAATCCACCTTGATAATAGACTCAAATTTCATACACATATACAACAAATTTCTAAGAAAATTTCCAAGACTGTAGGCATACTATCGAAGATACGGTACTATGTTCCACAGTCAGCCCTCCTGGCCCTATATCACTCTCTTATTTACCCCTATCTCACCTATGGAATTTGTGCATGGGGCTCAACAACAATTAACCATCTCAGACCACTAATTACTCAACAAAAGGCTGCAGTTAGAATGATAACAAATTCTCACTACAGGCAGCACACTCCACCATTATTCAATACACTAAACCTACTCACCATACAAAACATCCATACTTATTACTGCACCTATTACATACATAGAACACTTAACTCTGATATTAACCCTCCCCTCAAACGTCTCCTTGCCAACCTCAACAGAACACATGACCATAACACAAGGCACAGATCACTCTTTGATGTTCCTCGTGTCCATCTCACACTATGCAAAAACTCAATGCACATAAAAGGCCCTAAAATCTGGAATTCATTACCTGTAAATATAAAAGAAACACAACCTGTTTATAAATTCAAGTCTCTTCTCAAAGATCACTTACTCACCCAAAACCAAATAAATACTGAATAACTGAACCTTATAAATTGTATATCTTAAATGTTTCTCACAATTATATCACATAAATGTTAAACCTAAAACCGAATCTAACTTTATTATTTTTTTAAATACACTACCTAACAGAATCACTAACTAACTGAATGCAACCATATGACCTGTCTTTGTAATACTCACTTGTGCTTTATAGTAATCTGTTTACATTAATGTTTTATCACTGATTTCATCATTGCTTAGTTAATCTTAAGTTAATTTTAAGCCAGCCCGTAATGCTATGCATAGTATAAGTGGCTTTGGCATACTGCTCTTATCTATATTTTTTTTTTGTACCTCTGTAAGTGTGCTCAAATTGAAAATAAATAAATAAATAAATAAAAAAAAAAATAAATAAATAAATTTACCGTATTTCCAACAGGGATGACTCACGTCCGTCTGGGGTGACTTACCGTCCATCAGGGGTAAGCGGGGTCATGGTGAGGTCCCCGGAGGAGGAGGCAAGAAAAAACCCAGGATGGTGAAGTCTCCAGGAATATGTCTTCTGCCTGGCGTCCCAGTCATCAGGATCCCTCACATATACCCTCCCTAGGGGCACCGGTTCTCCCTGTGACTGTGGGCAGAGAAGGAGAGAACGAGTGTGTGAGAGAGAGGCAAAACCATCCCCCTACACACACACACACACACACACACACACACACACACACACACACACACACACACACACACACACACAACAAAATGCAAGGAGGCAGTGGAAAGGTTTATTCCCAAGGGCAACAGTAACAACGGGAAGACCAGAACGAGCCCCTGGTTTACCCGACGGTGTAAGGAGGCAAAAACAAAGTGCAATAGAGAATGGAAAAAGTACAAAAGGCAGAGAACACACGAAAATAGGGAGACCAGTCGCAGAGCCAGGAATGAGTATGCACAGGTAAGGAGGGAGGCCCAGCGACAGTATGAAAATGACATAGCATCGAGAATCAAGACTGACCCGAAACTGTTGTATAGCCACATCAGGAGGAAGACAGCAGTCAAAGACCAGGTGATTAAGGACAGAAGGTGGAGAACTCACAAGAAATGATCAGGAGGTATGTGAGGAGCTGAACAGGAGATTTAAGGAAGTTTTTACAGTAGAGACAGGAAGGGCTGTGGGAAGACAGCACAGAAGGGAAAATCAAGAGGGAATATACCAACAAGTGTTGGATGACATACGAACAACTGAGGAGGAGGTGAAGAAGCTCTTAAGTGACCTTGACACCTCAAAGGCGATGGGACCGGACAACATCTCCCCATGGGTCCTTAGAGAAGGAGCAGAGATGCTGTGCGTGCCTCTAACCACAATCTTCAACACATCCCTTGAAACTGGGCAACTACCTGAGAAATGGAAGACAGCTAATGTAGTCCCCATATTTAAGAAAGGAAACAGAAACGAGGCACTAAACTACAGACCTGTGTCTCTGACATGTATTGTGTGCAAAGTCATGGAGAAGATTATCAGGAGGAGAGTGGTCGAACACCTGGAAAAGAACAAGATTATAAATGAAAACCAGCATGGGCTCACGGAAGGCAAATCTTGTATCACAAACCTCCTGGAGTTTTATGACAAGGTAACAGAAGTAAGACACGAGAGAGAGGGGTGGGTAGATTGCGTTTTCCTAGACTGCAGGAAGGCCTTTGACACAGTTCCCCACAAGAGATTAGTGCAGAAGCTGGAGGATCAGGCGCATGTAAAAGGGAGGGCACTGCAATGGATAAGGGAATACCTGACAGGGAGGCAGCAACGAGTCATGGTACGTGAAGAGGTATCACAGTGGGCACCTGTTACGAGCGGGGTCCCACAGGGGTCAGTTCTAGGACCAGTGCTATTTTTGATATATGTGAACGACATGATGGAAGGAATAGACTCTGAAGTGTCCCTGTTCGCAGATGACGTGAAGTTGATGAGAAGAATTAAATCGGACGAGGATGAGGCAGGACTACAAAGAGACCTGGACAGGCTGGACATGTGGTCCAGTAACTGGCTTCTCGAATTCAATCCAGCCAAATGCAAAGTCATGAAGATTGGGGAGAGGCAAAGAAGACCGCAGACAGAGTATAGGCTAGGTGGACAAAGACTACAGACCTCACTCAGGGAGAAAGACCTTGGGTGACCATAACACCGAGCACATCACCGGAGGCACACATCAACCAAATAACTGCTGCAGCATACGGGCGCCTGGCAAACATGAGAATAGCGTTCCGATACCTTAATAAGGAATCGTTCAAGACACTGTACACTGTGTATGTTAGGCCCATACTTTAGTATGCAGCACCAGTCTGGAACCCACACCTGGTCAAGCACGTCAAGAAGTTAGAGAAAGTACAAAGGTTTGCAACAAGGCTAGTCCCAGAGCTCAAGGGAATGTCGTACGAGGAAAGGTTAAGGGAAATCGGACTGACGACACTGGAGGACAGAAGGGTCAGGGGAGACATGATAACGACATACAAGATACTGCGGGGAATAGACAAGGTGGACAGAGATAGGATGTTCCAGAGAGGGGACACAGGGACAAGGGGTCACAACTGGAAGCTGAAGACTCAGACGAGTCACAGGGACGTTAGGAAGTATTTCTTCAGTCATAGAGTTGTCAGCAAGTGGAATAGCCTAGCAAGTGAAGTAGTGGAGGCAGGAACCATACATAGTTTTAAGAAGAGGTATGACAAAGCTTAGGAAGCAGAGAGAGAGAGGACCCAGTAGCGATCAGTGAAGAGGCGGGGCCAGGAGCTGAGTCTCGACCCCTGCAACCACAATTAGGTGAGTACAATTAGGTGAGTACATACACACACACACATACACAAACATGCACACAGGCACACACACACACACACACACACACACACACACACACACACACACACACACACACACACACACACACACACACACACATACACATACACGTGCGCACACACACACACACACACACACACATACATACACGCACACACACACACATACACACATATATCAACAAGGGGTCACAGTTGGAAGTTGAAGACTCAGATGAATCTCAGTGATGTTTGAAAGCATTTCTTCAGTCACACAGTAGTCAGGAAGTGGAATAGTCTGGGAAGTGAAGTAGAGGAGGCAGGATCAATACATAGCTTTAAGACGAGGTATTATAAAGCTCATGGAGCAGGAAGAGTGACCTAGTAGCGGCCAGTGAAAAGGCGTGGCCTGAGCTGTGAATCGACCCCTGCAACCACAATTAGGAGAGTACACACATACCAAAGGCCAATGTCAGCCAGGGAAAGCAATATGCTCCTTGTCCCCCCTGACTGCTTTTTTCAGCTCTGTCCAGCAAATTTAAAACAAATCGTGGCTCTCCTTCTACCTCAATCTGTGGTGCTCACCCCAGGGATTCCCAGCATTGGGACCATCCCGAAGGAGTTCCCCCCAAAAAATGATATATCATTTTTCTGTTAAAGACTCTAAGAATTTTCAAGTTTCGGTTTGTTTCAAAACATTATTAAAAGAACTAATAAGAAACGTAAATTTTAATTTTTAAATGAAACTTAAAGGAAGACGTGCCTAGCATGGGCCAGAAGGCCTACTGCTGCTGTGTCTCTCCATTTGTATGCTCTAGTGGTTTTTTTTTATCTGTATTTATGTCATTGTGGCCAAGGATTCGAGCACACGTCATTCCTATGCCAAGAAACTACATTGTGAAACGAATATGAAGAATTAGAAGAGTACAGATACCAGGAGCTTTTAGATTCACTGCCATGAGTCGTGTCAAATAAAACGAGGCAATGGAGAAAGTAATTTACAGTGGTTTAAAAAGGTACACGAGTGAACACTTCGACATATTTATTAAGAAACGTTTCCATCCAGGCGCCGAAGTGACCAACATTCTAGGATATAAACGTTTTCTGATATATCCTAGTGTTTGCTCATTTTTTTTCTAAACCATTTGTCGATATCAAATTCCAGGATTTATGCTTAACAAGTATTGGTCAGGAACCCCATCCAGGAGCTCGTATAGTTTCTCTACTAGAGGCTCACAGAAGGTACACGCTGTGGCTACCACACTTACCTGGAGGGTGTGGACAGTGACAGTCTTGGAGGCTGGAGACATGGGATTATCATTGACGTCTGCTACCTGGAGGCTGAGTGTGACAGTAGCGGAGAGTGACGGTCTACCAGCATCACCAACCACCAGTGGCACCAGTATCGTCCGTCTCTCCTCTCTGTCTAGTCCCGCCCGTGCCCACACCACGCCCACACCACGCCCTTCGTCACCTCCTGTGGGAGAGCAACTAATCAGAAATGCACTATCTTGCAAGCATTCCACGCCACTCTGTTTTAATCTCTGACTACATATTAAATATAAATGCTAAATGATTTTAACGACTTAAAGCGCATACTAATAACATTGCGAGTTCGCGAGAACATTGTTATTAATGGTATTTGCATGAAACGCTTATCCGATGTGGGTCGTTCAACACAGAGTGATGGCTGCTCGATCCTCCGCTCACATATCGTACCAGCAATTTCAATAACAGTCCAATCAACGCCTCAACAATATTACATCTCCATTGGCTTGAAAAAAAAAATCCACTTGTTTGGAAAACGTCTTAAAGAATAAAGACAGTCAGGTGTTACATATGTGTCTTATACATCACCTTGTAGGCAGTGTATACCATTTCTACAATTATATACATCTGAGTGACGCACCAGCAATATCAGTCTTCATGACTCCAAAAAAAAAAAGGCAATATAACTACAATTCTCAGGGACAACCTTAATGTTATAAATATAATTGCATCACTGATATAGTGCTGTCGGAATGGTTCAATGATTTATTTGTTTATTCATATATTTAAACAAGGGATCTACAATTCTGATAGGTTTGGAAGCTCTGGTGAGTCCTTTGACAGTCGGGCGTGAGACAGGTCCAACTATTTTTCCCAAAATAAATTTGCTAAAACAAATATGTGTTTCTATGAGTGGCAGAGAGAAGCTGGTTCGTGGGTTTTTTATGGTTTAAATCAATATTTGGTTTAGCTTTGCATGCAGTCGTTTGTTTGATGTGTTAGTGAATGTATACAGTACTTGTGTATGGACGAATGAAGTGTATATACTATTATATGTGCAGCAATGTACACTTACACACACACTTACACACACTTGCACTTAACACACACACACACACACACACACACACACACACACACACACACACACACACACACACACACACACACACACACACACACACACACACACACACAAGCATTCTGACATCATTCTACCATCACGCCCTAACACCTTCCCATCCTTGCAACACGACAGATAACTCACTCTTATCCAGCGTGACCTTTATGTTGGCAGCGACGTGTCGTGGCGCCCGCGGATCCAGCACCACGCTGAAGGGGGGGCCGTGACCCCGGCTCCAGTCGTCGGGGTCACCTAGCTTGACTCTTGCTACCTCCTGCGCCTCGCCGTTCTCCACTACCTGCACCTCCTGGGGTCCCACTAGGAACGGCGGGTTGTCGTTCACGTCCGTCACGTTTACCTGCATGGGAGATCACGGAGGAGCATGTTAGTATGCTCAGTATATGAGAGTATTTTGGAATACATATTAGCATACAAGAGAGCATTGTAGTACACGGAAATAGGGATGCACATGGAAGAGTATTTAAGCACATGGCGGAGTATTGAAGTACATGGGAGAGTGTTTAAGTATATGGGAGAGTATGTAGGTACATGGGAGAGTATTTAAGTACATGGGGTAAAAGAGTGTACGTGAGTGTACAAGGATACATTCAAGAACAGTATAATACATGGAAATATACACGGAAGCCTAAAACTAAATACACGTTTATGTATTTTTATTTGTGATAACCAAGTACGACACATGTACAACAGTAAGGTATATTTCGCCTTCGTACGAGAACTTCATCAGTTACACACTGAAGTGGCGAATACGGAGACAACTGAAGCAGTATTCTGTATTTGACTGAAAAAAAAAGACTACCGTGTAGGCGGAACGTTTCTGGGTACAGACACCCAAGTGCTGCACATGTGTCTTACCTGCCAACCTACCGGTCTTGTATACCATTGTTATTTTCATATCTACAGCTCTGTATAAACAGATGAAGGTCAAGGAAGGTCACTCTGAGGTGCCAGGGGGGTCAAACAAGGTCAACTGGAGTAACACAAATGCAAGTTTGAAGCCACAAGATATTAAGGCTGAAAGACAGCAAGGCTACAACGTATGAAGTCCATAGAGTATCAAGACTCCAATATATCAAGGCCATAGGGTATCAAGGCCCCAATATATCACAGGTATCAGATAAAGGTCACAGGTTCATCAAGGTTCAATAAGTGCCACAAAGAGCATGTTTGGTAGACAATAAGTGCCACAAAGGTCAGGTAAGGACAAATTTAATGAGTGCCTCAGTTATTATTTTTATTAATTATTATTACACTTTTTAATATTACTATTATCATTATAATTATTATATTTTTTTTGTATTATTATTATGAGCGTCAATCAAATCATGAAAGAGGATCAAGACCAATCCCCTTCCTCGGATCAAGAGCTAATATTTTACTGTAAGTATGAGTGGCTAGGGGGGTATACTGACACTAAGGGTGGCTGTGGTCGTCCTGGGTGGGTGGCCCTGGTCCACCGCCCATACCAGCACAGTGTGGGCGGCCGCTACTTCCCGGTCCATGCCGCCCACCACCCTTACAGCTCCCGATCCATCCACACTGAACTGCCGCCCAGGGTCACTGTCGGAGGCGATGCTGTAGGTAACTGCCTTCTCACCGCCCTGTGGAGGTACGAGTGCTGGATAGTGGCGGATAGTGGTGAATAATGTGGATAGTGGTGGGTAGTGGGGATAGTGTGAATAGTGGTGAGTAGTGGGGGTAGTGTGTATAGTGGTGGGTAGTGTTGATAGTTGTGGATAGTGTAGATAGTGGTAGCTAGTAATAGTTAATTGATTTTGTGTGTGTACACAATTGTGGTTGTAGGGGTCGATTCATAGCTCCTGGTTCCGCCTCTGCACTGGTGTGTGTGTGTGTGTGTTCGAGTGTTTTTCTGTAAGAAAATAGCATTTTAATGATTAATTTATTTTTTCCAACGTTGAAGATGGTCGACCCAGTTTTTCCATTTTTATATGTTAAATACAGGTGTGGGTGTGGACTTACAGCGTCCGGGTCAAGGGCAGTGAAGGTGGTGAGGTGTGTGCCTGGGGGCGTGTCCTCGGGAAGACTGAGGTGGGCGTGGTTCTCGCTGAACACGGGGTCGTTGTCGTTGACGTCTTCGAGGAAGACTCGAACCCACGTTTCTGCTGTGTGGTCGTCCCACGTCTCTGTTGTGTGGTCGTCTGCGTCGTCGTCACGACCAGACGTTCCCTGTACACACGCGCATAAACACACAGCTGTTTTAGTTTGCTCACACACGTACTACTACTACTACTACTACTACTACTACTACTACCACTACTAAAAATAATAATAATAATAATAATAATAATAATAATAATAATAATAATAATAATAATGATAATAATATCATAGTAATTAAAATTAATAAAAATTTGCATGCAGAAAATTCACCATCAATAACCCTCAGGAGATAGTTTCTAGACTTACCATGTCTGTAACTTGTACTTTGAAGCTGAAGCCTCTTCTGTGATCTGGATCCTCGTAGTCCAAGGGTTGCACAGCTCGTAGGTCTCCTTCTGGGCCTCCTCCAGGACGCCCCTCAACCCTGAACAACTCCCATCCTCGGCCGCTCTCCGGTACCACCTGCAAAACCACGTGCTCACCGTGTTTGTAAACAAGAATCAGCTGATTCTCACCCGCGTCTTCTGTCACCTGAAAGTCCACGTGCTCACCGTGTTTGTAAACAAGAATCAGCTGATTCTCACCCGCGTCTTCTGTCACCTGAAAGTCCACGTGCTCACCGTGTTTGTAAACAAGAATCAGCTGATTCTCACCCGCGTCTTCTGTCACCTGAAAGTCCACGTGCTCACCGTGTTTGTAAACAAGAATCAGCTGATATTACACTAGAAAGCATCTCTACAATCACAACCGATAACGAACGGAAAACATTTTTGATTTTTTTTGTTAGATAATTGTTATAGACTTATAAAAAATGAATTAATTTGACTTTATGCTTCTGATACTAAACAAAATTTCGTCAGAAAATGCGTGAAAAAAATATGTGAAAATTCATGATAAACTAATTTCCAAATAACTCATATTGCTAAGAACTAAATAATTTTTAATTTCGTTATTAGCTAAACATTTTGCGATACATATTTTACCGACAGTGTATTCCACCTCAATATTCAGCAGTAATTACTGGTAAGCAAACTAAAGTTAATTAGTTGAGTGGTGAGTGATAGCTACGCACACTTAGGTAGACTAGCTGCGTATACAGCGATAGTTACGCAACTCAGATTTTCATGAATTAGTGGGGAAGCGATAAATACGCAGCAATAGCTACGCAAACTTAGATTTTCATTAATTTAGTAGGGAAACGATAGTTACGCAGCGATAACTGCGTATCAATATCACTGAGTTATCAAAACCCGATATAGATATTCATCTCACGCAACGAGCAAAATGCTCTACTCTCGCATTTACAATTATTATTATTATTATTATTATTATTATTATTATTATTATTATTATTATTATTGTTATTATTATTATTATTATTATTATTATTATTATTATTATTATTATTATTATTATTATTATTATTATCATCATCATCATCATCATTATCATGGGGGAGCGCTAAACCCGAAGGGATTATACAACGCCTGTGGGGAGGGGAGATTGGAAGACATTTATACTTAATTCGGGGAATTAGAACGCAGCTCCAATTCCCTAGATTAAGGGACCTACCCTAAGGGAGCCTATATACGAACAATAAATAAATATTTACCAAATAATAAGCATAACTAGGTAATTAAAAAACTTTCACAGATAAGTAACCACAAATGTGCCATTACATACGAGTATATAGAAACAAATACCTGGAGTATACCTGGAGTATACCAGGAGTATACCTGGATTATACCAGGAGTATACCAGGAGTATACCTGGATAGGGTTTCGGGGATCAAGACCCTCGCGGCCCGGTCTGTGACCAGGCCACAAGACCTGGTCACAGACCGGGCAAACACGCCTTAAATAACACACTAGCTAATCAACTCTAGAACAATGCCATCCACACAAGTTCCTTTTAAACTGAACTTCCAAAGCTCCCTTCAATGATTATTATTTTTTAAGTTATAACTGAGTTTCCCGAGTTAGGCCGTAGATTTAATACGTTTGATAAATAAGGATTGTGTACAGATTTACTACTGAGCCAAGGTATTAAATTATTCACAAACGCGCGTTATTAAATGCTGCAGATGTATTAATTGTACACTAAATTATAAAAAAAAAGATATTTGGATACCAGTAAAGCATTTAGGCCTATGTGCGATCCAGAGCAGTAGGACACAATTGAATTTATATTTATTGAAAAAAAGCATTGCAAGACCCAGAAGAGAATAGAAACCTCACATAAAATCGAAACTGTGATAGTTTGAACTCTCACCTGGCGTTTCCTGAAAAAAATTAAGTGCCACTCATTTACATTCAAAAAAGTTTGATTAACCTTTTTTAAAACTGTCGCTCAAGTCGACAAATTAATAATGACTTTCCAACTTTGTATTAGATACTGGGTGTCATCTATAATGATCATTATTATCAACAGGGTTCAAGGCTTCATTATATGCTACGATAAAAGTTAACGGAAGATGATCTTGAGACACTTCGTGCGTGGCACTGAGCTTCTCTGTCCCGTACTTACCGTCATACCTACCTGGAGGGTGTTCCAGGGGTCAACGCCCCCGCGGTCCGGTCCAGGCCTCCCGGTGTATCAGAGGCTGATTCAGACTTGATTACTTTCCATTTCCTAGAAGCTCTATGATCTTTACTGCCTTGACGCATTCCAATAATAATTTTTTTTAACACGCCGGCCGTCTCCCACCGAAGCAGGACGACCCGAAGAGGAAGAAGCGCTTTCAGAAAGTTTTTTCTTCTTCTTTTTACATTAAGTAATATATACAGAAGGGGGTCACTAGCCCTTTGCTCCCGGCATTTTATTCGCCTCTTACGACACGCATGGCTTACGGAGGAAGAATTCTTCTCCACTTCCCCATGATATTAAATAATAATAATTATTATTATTATTGTTATTATTATTATTATTATTATTATTATTATTATTATTATTATTATTATTATTATTATTATGGGAATATCAATATCACCGCAGCTGCTACAACAACAACAACAACAACAACAACAACAACAACAACAACAACAACAACAACAACAACAACAACTACTACTACTACTACTACTACTACTACTACTACTACTACTGCTAATAATTTATTAAAAGTTACTAAATAATCTTTATTGTTATATAAGATGAAGGCTGCCAGAGTTACCCTCAGAGTGTTTCAGTCAGACGAGCAAGTGTAACACAGAACTGTCTCAGGCGAGAGGTTACTGAGGAATTAAGTTATTTAATGGACCACTGATGAGGCAAATTTTAGATATTAAACTCAGTGTTGATAATGTTGTTACATTATTTATTGAAATATCACCAGTTTCTTGACATTTTATTGCATCAGTGATGACGAATCTTCAGTTGAAGGAAACAGGAGATTTAGCAGCCAACACAACGTATCTAGCTGGAGTAAAAAAAAAAAATATATATATATATATATATATATATATATATATATATATATATATATATATATATATATATATATATATATATATATATATATATATATATATATATATATATATATATATATATATATATATATATATATATATATATATATATATAATTGTAAGAACTATCAAGACGCCAGCGGTTTCTTAATAATTGAGCTTCCCATTGTTTAACTATGACTGTTTAACTATTTTCCTGACAGCCACAACACCGCCACAACACCACAACAACACCACCACCACCACCATCAGAACTGACGTGCCCTACATGGAGTCTACCTGTAGGGAGTTCTGGGGATCAACGCCCCCCGCTACCCGGTCCTTGACCAGGCCTCCCTACACACGATGAACGAATTACAATCATAATTAAGGGCTAAACCCACAAGCATTGTCGGGTACATACACCAACATTCACGTCTCCCTTGTCGAAGTAGCCACAGATTTTTTCCAGCAAGTTATGGAACCGGTGAAATTGCTGACCTAGAAAATGTACAGAGAACCTTCACGGCGCGCATAACGGAGATAAAACACCTCAATTACCGGGAGCGCTTGAATTTCCTGAACCTGTACTCCCTGCAATGCAGGCGAAAGAGATACATGATTATATACACCTGGAAAATCCTAGAGGGACTAGTACCGAACTTGCACACGAAAATCACTCACAACGAAAGCAAAAGACTTGGCAGACGATGCAACATCCCCCCAAAGAAAAGCAGGGGTGTCACTAGCACGTTAAGAGACCATACAATAAGTGTCAGGGGCCCGAGACTGTTCAACTGCCTCTCAGCATACATAAGGGGAATTACCAATAGACCCCTGGCAGTCTTCAAGCTGGCACCGGCCAAGCACCTAAAGTCGGTTCCTGACAAGCCGGGCTGTTGCCCGTACGTTGGATTGTGTACAGCCAGCAGTAACAGCCTGGTTGATCAGGCTCTGATCCACCAGGAGGCCTGGTCACAGACCGGGCCGCGGGGGCGTTGACCCCCGGAACTTTCTCCAGGTAAACTTAAGGTAAACCGGCGCTGGAAGACCTCACTGACCCTGAATGTGAAATAATTGGAGATGTCGGTGTCTTGGACGGTCAGGGTGGCCAGGACGTCGTCAGGAGTGAGGTTCTCAGATACTTTCAGCGTCCATTCTGGCTGGGAGAACCTGGGAGGGACGTCGTTCACATCCTCAACGTCAATAACCACAGTTCCTGTACCTGCGGCAGGAGTGGCAAATGTTTACTGCTAAACCTTCTCAGACATCTAAACACATGCCAAAATAAATATTAATAAGGTGCACAAAGAAACACAATAACCACATGATAATGGAACGAAGTAATGTACACGAAGACAAACACAGGTAAATGGCATAAGGAAATGATCAATGTAATCACCAATTTGTAATTACCTATCCGTGATTGCCTATTCGTAGCAACATGAGCTCATGGTTACTCGTCTTCGGTAACTGGCTCATTATTTAAATTTTCAAAAAATTTCCATTGGTTTAAGCACTTCCTACATCGAATAAGACACTTGTGTCTTATTCGATCAGCCTAGAGGCTGATGGACTGATTACCCACAGTAAACCTGAGGCTACTCACCCTTGAGGCCACCTCCGTCAGTAGCCACCACCTGGATGATGTACCGATGGGTCTTCTCTCTGTCTAGACAGCAGAAGGCGGTGGTGATGAGCCCCAAATTGCTGTCGATAGCAAAGATGGCCTTCCCAGTCGACTCGTCGATGGCGTTCTTCTCCAGCGAGTAGGTGACCTTGGCGTTGTCAGCCTCCTGAGGGTCGTCGTGGTCCACGGCCACCACCCGCACTACTGACGAACCTGTAGATATGGAACACACAACAACATAACAGATATGAACACTGCAGCGGTATAGCCGGCCCTTGCGGTCCCTCATAAACCCAATCATTTCTCAGTCACATACTCATCCAAGCCACTTATCAAGCCACCAAAGGCATTTGTAACTTCATTCCCAGACCAGTACTTCCCTGTATCTTATCTAAACACACTTTCTGAAATCGTATGATATGACTGTCGTATATCACACACACACACACGTACACACACACGCGAGGCTAGAAACCTTATACAAGACATCTTCATTGTGAGACATGTATCATGTAAACGGAATACAGCACTGACAAGTTGATGAATAAGACACATTTGACAACATCCAAGTGTTGCACATGTGTCACATTCATCATGAGATATATTCAAAGAGTGCAAGATACTATGGATGTGTTGGCAAAGATATTCAATGTATGCCTCACAGGAGGGACCAGAACGAGGGACACAGATGGAAGCTAACAGCCTAAATGAATCAAAGGGTCAACAGAAAATGTTCCTTCAGTGTAAAGGCAGGAAGGGAGCGGAAGTAATGAGAAGTATGGGGGAGGAAAATTACATACATAGGCTTACTGAGTACATATGCATGGACTTACTGAGTACATATGCATGGACTTACTGAGTATATATGCATTTACTTGTTGAGAATATATACATGAACTTACTGGGTATATATGATGGAATCGAAGAAGCTTGAATTATTATTAATATTGATATATTCGTGGGGAAATGTTAAACCTGTGTGGATCATTCAGCCCCAGGAGTGGTGTAGGCTCGATCCTCAGTGTCCACTAAATCCTAGACAGATATTATATTTATCATACAGTTTGCAACGCAAGATCTCACTATATTCTGAAACTCTTGCTTCGTTATCCGCAACACAACAATCACAATCCTAGCGAATGTAATCACCTTAAATTGCTAATTACCTGGAGTACAATTTACAAGCTTCTCGACACAGCTACAGGCAGGAGAGCTTATCCGTCGCACTTGTGCCATGTTAAGTACATTTAATGTGAAATATATGTTCCTGCTTTGTCGCTAGAAAATTAAATAACGTGTTGCTTGCTATCTCAGTGTTCCATGCTCTAATTCACACGTAACCGTATTAAAATTACATGAATAGGACAGTATATATATATATATATATATATATATATATATATATATATATATATATATATATATATATATATATATATATATATATATATATATATGTCGTGCCGAATATGTAAAACTGGTCAATTAGCAAGAACTCATTTAAAAGTAAGTCCTTTCTAAAATTTTCTCTTATACGTTTAAAGATATATTTTTTTCATTAATGTTGATGTAAAAATTTATAATTTTGCTGCAAAAGGAACTTAGAAAACTTACCTAACCTTATTACAAAAAGAGCAATTTATTTTAACCTAACCCATCTAAATATATTTTAGATTTGTTTACAATAATTTAATACTAAACAAACCCAGTGAAATATATATTTTTCGTTAGGTTCAGAATGATTTTGGCGAAATTATTGCATACACAAATTTTCACTTGTCCTATATGGCAAGATGAGCGTTGCTATTTAAGCCAAGATAGCAAATTCTGCCTATTCGGCACGACATATATATATATATATATATATATATATATATATATATATATATATATATATATTTATATAAATAAATACACTGATCTCTGGCTGAAGGAGACACGAACCAACGAACCCTTAGGACAAGGTACGCAGTGCTTTACCAATCTAATCCACACTGGAGACCAATACCTTGGCGGTGCAGCAATGCGCAAGACAACGTTTCTGACTCCAAGGCACCAGCTTTCAGAAGCAGGCTTACCAGCTTTTCATCTCACCCCTGCATGCATCAGCCTTACTAGAGACTGAACAATGGCATGCTGCGCAGGCGGCAATGCTGCACGCCAAGTATTGGCCGTGTGGATAGATTGGAGTAAAGTGCACGCGTACCTTGTCCTAAGGTTCGTAGTTTCGAGTCTCCCTTAGCCAGGAGATCAGTGTTTGGTGTAATTGTCGCATGCTCTCGCGAAATTCCTTGCGACTGTTCAAAGTCTCTAGAAGGCTGCGATGCATGCAGGGGAAGAGATGAACAAGTTGTGCGCTAAGACCTAGCTGTCCTGAAAGCAGGCTGCCTTGTGGATCAAACGTGTAGCGCATGCTGCACGCCAAGTATTGGTCGACAGTGTGAGGATTAACGATTGGGTAAATGCACTGTCGTAACCTTGTCCTAAGGTTCGTAGGTTCGAGTCTCCTTCAGCAGAGATCAGTGTTTGTGAATATTTCGCATGCTCTCGCGAAATTCTTGCATATATATATATATAATATATATAATATATATATAATAATTATATATATATATATATATTATATATATAGTATATCAGAGAGAGAGAGAGAGAGAGAGAGAGAGAAATTCACACCACCGAAGGCTGGAGGCCAACCAATCACTCTCATGTCAATTAATTTTCGCTAGAGTAGTTTGTTGCTTGTTGATGAGAACCTCGGCAGAGCAGAATATACCCGAGAACACACTGGAGTGGTTCAGTTTCCCAGGCTGCTCTACTTGTGAACCTGTGCGTGTGTGTTTGTGTGTATGTGTGTGTGTGTGTGTGTGTACTCACCTATTTGTACTCACCTATTTGTGGTTGCAGGGGTCGAGTCCTAGCTCCTGGCCCCGCCTCTTCACCGGTTGCTACTAGGCCCTCTCTCTCCCCGCTCCATGAGCTTTATCAAACCTCGTCTTAAAACTGTGTATGGTTCCTGCCTCCACTACGTCATTTTCTAGGCTATTCCACTGCCTTACAACTCTATGACTGAAGAAATACTTCCTACTCTATCTCTCTGACTCATTTGTGTCGTCAACTTCCAATTGAGTGGCTTTGTTCTGTGTCCCCTCCCTGGAAACAATTATCCTGTCTTTTGTCCACCTTGTCTATTCACGCAGTATTTTTATATGTCCGTTATCATGTCTACCCTGACCCTCCTGTCCTCGCATGTGTCGTCAGGCCGATTTCCCTTAATCTTTCTTCATAGGACATTTCCCCTTCAGTCTGGAACTAACCTCTGTCGCAAACCTTTGTACTTCTCTAGGTTTCTTCTGTGACGTGCTTTATCAAGTGCGGGTTCCAAACAGGGTGCATGCATTACTCAATATGGGCTCCTGACAACACCGGTGTCAGTGTCTTGAAATAGATTCCTTACTAAGGTATCGAATGGCTGTTCTCAGGTGTTGCCAGGCGCCCATATGCTGCAGGCAGTTATCTGATTGATGTGTGCTTTCCGGAGACAGCTCGGTGTTATACACACCGCCAAGATCTTTCCTCCTTGAGAGTGAGGTTTGCAGTCTTTGGCCCACCTCGCCCATACTCTGTCTTGTCTTCTGTGCCCTTCCCCTAGCTTCATGACTTTTGGCATTTGGTCAGGAGTTAAAGTCGAGAAGCCATTTGCTGGACCAGGTGTCCAGTCTGTCTCAGGTCTCTTTGAAAGTCCTGCCTGGTCCTCATCAGATTTTAATTCTCCTCATTAACTTCACATCATCTGCAAACAGGGACACTTCTGACTCTAATCCTGTGCCGAGTCATGTCGTTCACGGAGCAGATACCAAAAATAGCACTGGTCCTAGGACCACCCCTGTGGGACCCCCCGCTCGCACAGGTGCCCACTGTGATACATCATTACGTACCATGACCCGTTTGTTGCCTTCCCTGTCAGGTATTCTCATGATCCATGCAGGCCCCTGCCTGTTTATATGCGCCTGATCCTCCTAGAGCTTCTGCACTAATCTCTTTGTGAGGAACTGTGTCAAAGGCCTTCTTGCAGTCCAAGAAGATGCAATCAACCCACCCCTCTCTCTCTTGTCTACTTCTGTTTATTTTATCATAAAACTCCAGATAGGTTGTTGACACAGGATTTTTGCCTTCCGTGATCCGTGCTTGTGGCATTTATACTCCTGTTTCCCGTTCCAGGTGGCTCCACCGACTCTCCCTCCTATAATCTTCACCCATAATTTTGCATACTATACGACGTCAATGAAACAGGTCTATAGTTTAGTCTGGCCTCCATTTTTTTTTTTTTTTATTTTTTTTTCCCTTCTGTCTCCTTTTTTACCAAAAATGGGAACTACATTTGCCCGTCCCCCCCCCCCTTCCATACCTCAGGAGTTGCCCAGTTTCCAGGATGTGTTGAAGATTGTGGTAAGATGCACGCACGCAACATCATATCTGCTTCCTCTCTAAGGGACCCACGGGGAGATTTGTCCGGTCCCATTTGCCTTTGAAGGTATCGAATGTCCCCTTAGCAGATTCTTCACCTCCTCCTCATCTGCGTATGTATGTTCGTCCAACACTTGTTGGTGGTATACTGTGTTGGTGTCCCGCAATCTGTTCTGTCCCCCCAGAGTCCGTCCTGTCTCTACTGTAAATACTTCCTTAAATCTCGTGTTTGAAACCCTCACATACCCTCTTGATCGTTTCTTTTAGTTCTCCACCTTCCCTTCACCTCAGCCTTGACATCTGGTCCTTGACTGTTGTCTTACCTCCTATGTGGCTATACAAGTCAGTTTTGGGTCAGATTTGACTTTCCGATGCTATGTCGTTTTCCGATGCTGTCGCTGGGGGGCCTCCCTCCTTATCTGTGCATACTCGTTTCTGGCTCTTCACTAATCCCTTGTTTTTCCTGGCTCCATGCCTCTGTAGCTTTTCCATGTCTCTGTGCACTTAGTTTTTGCTCCCTATTCCACCTTTTAGGTAAACCAGGACTCGTTTTGGTCTTTCCTATTATTTCTGTTTCCCTGGGGACAAAATTTCTTTCCTCTTGCCGTCCTTGCACTTTGTTGCGCCATATTCCATCATCTCGTTTAACTGATTTTCCTACCATCTTTCTCTGTCTCACTGACCTCCTGCAGGAATTTGCTCATACCTGTTAGATGCCTGGCCAGCACCTTTTATAGTTGGGCATG